TTCGAAGCGCATCAATGGGCTCTAGAAGAGCATTTGAGTATTCGACGCCTAATTGCTGAACAGGAATGTTGCATCTTGGACGAGTTCCATGGATCGGCCAATGAGTCGAGTGAAGAAAAAGGATCAGAGACTAGAGAATGGCTGGTTAAAGCAAAAAGGGCTGACGAACAGCTATCGAAGTTTTTGGTCAAAGCAGCTCAAGTTCAGCAAATGGTACAAGAAAATACCGCGCTTGAGGCAGCAGAGGAGGTTGAGTTCCTGCAAACAAAAACAATCCCTACACAAGAAGCCATGCAAGAGCTGGAAAAGTGGAGGGAATCATTGTCGGACGAGGTGACGTCTTTGGTGAAAGAGTTGGAGGTGGTGGAACCAACAACTCAAGAAAAGCTGGACAAATTGGCGGAAGAGCCTAATGCACCGGTGATTGAGTACGTTCCCAGTCTGGTGGTGTTTACCCGGAAGCAAGGGACAGGGAGGCGACGTGCCCGTATCTGTGCATGTGGAAACTTCATTTCGTCAACGGCAGCTACAGAATATGAAGGGCCGAGGTCACTCAGTCGTCACTCGCTGTACGCTCCAGGTTTAGATTCAACTACATTCAGGTGTCAAGTGAGGCACGCAGCATATATGGTGTGGATCATCGCTGGCTTAGACATTTCCAAAGCTTTTCTGACGGCGCCGATGAATAGGGCGCAAAGAGAAGGGCGTTTGGTGGTGGTGCAGCCCCCAAGGGCGGCGGTGAAATTGGGTCTTTGCACAAAAGAGGAGCGGTGGATTGTGAGGAAGGCCTTGTACGGTTTGGCCGAAAGTCCTGCAGCATGGGTGGAGTGGCGAGACCAACGTCTTCAAGGGATGTCTTGGGTGTCAAAGGATGGACAAGCAATGAGCTTTCAGAGGTCCAATGCAGACCCAAGTCTGTTCCTTATTATGGCGCAAGAGAAGCTGGAAGGTGCAAGCAAGTTGGTAGGGACAATGGGTCTTTACGTGGATGATTTTTTGATGGCTGGGACTATGACAGTGCTCCGGGAGGCCTTGGAACAGATTAGGAAGGAGTGGAAAACTTCTGAACCCGAGTTCTGTGGTCCAGGCTGCGGTGATGGATTCCTGAAGTTTTTAGGTGTCCAAATCTGGTATCGAAATGGCAGCTTCTTTCTCAACCAGGAGGACTTTGTGAGAGATTTGCTGAACCGACGAGGGTATCAGATCGATGAAACTGGAAAAGGGAGTAACCTGCCAATGGTGAAAGAAACTCCAGGTGAAGAAGAGGAGGTGGATATTCCTTCCTTGCGAGCGGCTCAAGGTGCCGTAGGGGAGTTCCTCTGGGTGGCAATCAAAACTCGACCTGATTTGGCGTTCTGCACGAGCCAGTTGTCTTTGTGGACATCCCGAAGGCCGCGATTTGTGGTTAAAAAGGCTGAGGAGGTTTTCCGATACCTTGCTGCAACTCCAACGTTAGGCTTGACGTTCGGAGCAATCGCAACATGCGAAAAAGAAAGAAATGAGGTGTTGCGTTATGGACGAGGCGTTAAGGTGGTGGAGTCCTACGCGGATGCCAGCTTTGCAGCAGGTGAAAACGAAAAGAGCCACTCAGGAGCGGTGGTGGTGTGGGGTGACTGTCCAGTGATGTGGGCAACACAAAGACAATCAACGGTGGCTTTAAGTACAGCTGAAGCTGAATTACATGCGTCCATAGAGGGAGCAACGATGATTCAGTCGTGCACCCCTATAATTGCCGCTTTGGTTGGAACAGGTGAAGAATCGCTGCAAAAAGTGCTGTATACAGATTCGGTTTCAACGTGCTCGATCATTCAATATCCTGCTGGAAGCTGGAGGACAAGACACCTGAGAATTCGAGCAGCCGGTGTCAGGTCTCTGGTGGACCGTGGTTATATGGTGATAGCGCATCTTCGCGGTGAGTATATGATCGCTGACCTGTTGACTAAGTTGATGAGTGGACAGGTGTACGCAAAGCAAAAGGCACTTTGGGGTCTCCGACTGTTGGTACAAGGGACTGACTTGAAAAAAGCCTCGCTTGCAATGGCGGTCATGATGGTGGCTGCATCTCTGCAAGGGATGGCAACTGGTGGAGAAGAAGTGTCAACTGCTGGTTTCTTTTGCTCAGAAGAAGGGGTGTGCAAGGTCGCCAACACGTCTACGGTGATGGTTCTGGCTCAAGGTATTGAAATGGTTGTCAACAATTCAGACCTTGTTGCATATTTGGTGGCAGCAATTATACTCTGGGAACTGGCATGGTGCCTCTTTCGATGGCTGTATAAATGGCTGTGGATCAAGAAAGCGGTGGTTATTCCTGCGAGTGCCACTTTGTATACAACAGTGGGTGGGAACTGTATGCACGCAAGCAGTGACTGTGATGTTCTGAGATATTCACAGCTCAGAGCTAAGACGCTTTGTAAGCATTGCCTCAAGGATGGCTGGGTGGTGAATGCTGAGTTCCTTGGTGAGGAACGGGCCGCTGGAACGTGAATTTTCCAAGTGCGAGGTGAAGAAATCCTCAATGGTAAAGGATTCAGCCAATGAGCTGAAGGTTCGTCCTGGATGACGTTAAACCATAATGTGCATTTCAAGCAGCTGGCTGCTGCCTAAATGGCGGTTTTTGGCCAAAGATCTGCACCTCCAATGTGTCCTAGGAAATCCTAGGACAGGGGGAGTGCGGAGCTGCAATTGGTATTGTAGAAAGGAGTTGGTATTGGAAGTTGAAGGGTCAATGAACCCGGTAATCTTTGGCTCAAGCCATGACCAAAGCGGTCAAAGGTTTCGTAAAAAGTGTGCCCTTGGTTTGGGGTCTTGTTGTTCGGTTGTTGGTTGTTCCAGGGGTATTAAGGGCTTCTGTTGGGGTTGACTGTTTTGTTCCCTGTCCTCCTTCGGTTGCCCCCCGTACCCTAAACCCTAAGCCCTAAACCCTAAACCCTAAACCTACAGTGGACTACAACCCGCTGTGACTACATGAAGCTTTCCCGAACCGCCGACGCCGCACACCAAGCTGACCCCACTTAGCTTTGAATGAGCAACCTCAAACTCAATTCCAAACTTGGTGCAGTGCACACCCTCCTCTTGCCAAACCGAGGCACTCGGCCACGACCCCTGCTGCACGCAAGGCTGACGCACGCACCTGGATCACTTTTAGATTCAGGTGAATTGGGGCTTTGTAGGAATGGTGGCTTCTAGAGCACCTCAATAAGGCTTGCCAAGGGTTGTGGAGAGTACGGAAGAGTTGCGCGTTGAATGTACATCAAGAAGCGGATTTTCTCATGACTGGTGTTGGGCGGCTTGCCTTATCACTATGCAGGAATGTTGATGCGAGGGATTGGGCCTTTCTTTCCATGATTGAAGGCGTAGGTTTGTGCGGACTCTCTATTGTACGAGCGTAAAGTGTACAAGATCTCGCATGCCGGCAAACAATGATGCAGCCACCGAAAAATACCGGAATGTGGCGGAACTGGCTCTATGCGCCTTATGAAGGCGACTGCGTGTCTGTACGTGCTGGCTTGAGGACATGACATCACATGCACACCCTCAGTTTGTGAGGGGGTGGGGTTGGGGCCCCATTATAGACCCCCAACTGTGGCTTTTCCTGGGAGCTGGGTATAATTTGAAAAACCCATTTCAGACCCCTGTTTGGTTATGGACTTGTCGGTGTTAGCTATGGTTTGGTTCTCTAGACCACAACGGAAAGGTCGTGAGACCCTTCAGTGAAGGGTTGACGTGAAATGGGTAAGCTGGGAAAGGTATAAAATGGTCCTATCCCCATTTCAGACCTCCGATTTCCTGACCCTCAAGGGTCACCATTCCAGACCCCCACAAGCTGAAGGGATTCAAATGCCGTATATCTCCGAAAGGGTGCATGAGATCACTAGAGTTCAGGAATGATACATGCATGACGAGCACTTGGTGGAAGAACAGGATGTTCTTGCAACTTTCGGTTTGAATACAGGTGTTTTGGGTTTGAACTTCAATCAGGTAAGAGTTGGGAAATGCTCAGGGTTTGTCGAAGGCCTTGTCCGAGGAGTCACTGCAAAGCTTGGCCACGGCGGCAGCCACCTGCTCGCTTTTAGGTGACCAGAAGCTCGCCCAAATCAGGGCAGTAGCGCTAGGGCAAGGAACGTAGCAGGGCAACTGCGTCACTGCACTTGTGCAGCTGGCTTTGCCACTGATATGTGATTGATTGCGCCTGCCTCATTGCCCACCAGTATACCCCCGCTTCGAAGATACAACATGCTCATTCTAGGATTCAGTCCTGACGAGGAGCCTGGACTTGCATACTATAGGGTCCTGAATCATTAGAATAGGGTGGGGTGGTATAGTGTAGCTATTTGGGGGAATACGATTAGTAATTATTCCGGCCCCTTATATTACTAGAGATCTTGTTCACGGTGTAAGGCATCAACATGAGCTCCTGATACGCTCCAGGTTTAGGGTTTAGGGTTTAGGGTTTAGGGGGCCAGCAGTTGGCGGGCCTGAACCATCTGGGGCTTTTCATCAGATGCGCCGCCGGTGCCTCAGGCAAAGTTGAATTGGATGAGGCTTCTCACCTTTCTGTTCCTGGACCTAGCCTGACCGCTGCTATGAGCTAGGTGGCTTTGAAGTTGCATGGCGAGGGCGCAAGGCCGTAGATAAACTCACAACTACTCCAGCTGGTGTCCGCGAAGTTGTGGGCATGGGTCTGACAGGTCTTCAGCACAAAGCGGTCAACGCCCTTGTCGTCAAACGGCCGCAAGCCCTAAGCCTAAACCCCAAAACCTTCTTCCTAACCCTAAACCCTAAACCCTGCGAAGGGTTTATTTTACAACTCCTAGACCCTGAGCCGCGAGGGAGCCTTCACGCCGGCTGCGGGTGGCACCGGCGAAGTTTGCAAGCGCTGCTGCGGCCGCCGAGCGTACCTATGATGTCTCATATGTGATGGCGAATAGGGGCGTTGGGTCAGTCAGCAACATGCATTTAACATGTTTTGGACATATGTTCAACAGGGCTTCTGCATCCAATTACATCGACAGGAAAATTTGCCACGCACGGCTCAAACTCAGCATGTCCTGTCTATCACAGCGCAAGGCGCTCCGCGCCCTGTCTAACCTGCTCCCAGCGACATCACCAGCAACGTCGGTGGTGAGATGCAGAACCAGCTGAATCACCTCATCGCCATCGCCCGACGTCCTTGGGAGTTCAACTTGGAGGCTCCGAGCTCAACCGACTATGTGCTTAAGAACCCCAAAAGAATAAGAAAGAAGAATTCCCATATTACCCTTAATAATGAAGAATATATATATATATATGTATATATATATATATATATATTTTTTCCGGGGTTCTGAAGCAATTAGTAGCAGTTGGGTGATATGCAAGGTCTGGGGCAAGGCAACTCCGGCAGCAGTCAGCGGCCTGGCGCAAATTTTGGAATCGGGCGCCTTGTCACCCTAAACCCTAAACCCTACTAAACCCTACTAAACCCTACTAAACCCTACCAAACCCTACCAAACCCTACCAAACCCTACTAAACCCTACTAAACCCTAAACCCCAAACCCCAAACCCTAAACCCTAAACCCCGCAGACCAGCAGTACCCCTCTGTAAAGCAATCTCCCCAAGTTGCCCAAATGTGCTACTGTAAGCAACTGTAAGCCTCGCAACAGGAGACCCCGAGCCCCACACAACAAGTTTAGGGTTTAGGGTTTGGGGTTTAGGGTTTAGGGTTTAGGGCCTCACTCAAGCTCCACTGTGGGTGTATTTGTGCTCTGCGGCTGTGGCCAATCCTCGGCCGAGGGGCTCCAACGATGCCTCCCACAGAGTTGAAGACGGGAGTCCCAGGATGCTCAGAAGCCCTACACCTTACCCAACAGGGTAATACAGGGATTACCGCTGTTTATGTCTTGGGGGCTCTTAAGCAAATAGTAGTAACTGACCATAGCCCAAGTCAAACGCTCGACTGACCTACTCCTGCTTTGACTCTTCTTATGTCGAATGCTAATCAGTGTGGCCTCCTAGAGGCCTGAAGGGCCGCTGGTTTCGGAGGGCGAGCAGGGGGAGAGTGGGACAAGGACGCTGAGAGAGAGTCTAGAGGCCCCATCTGATGCGCGGGGACAAAGGAATCAGGCTTTTGAGTAGTTGCAGCACGAGGAGAATGAGGTTTCTCTGGCATATGAACAGTGTGAAAATCTTAGCATCTGAACCGGGCTGAGAGCTCTTGATCTTAAACCCTAACCACCACCTGATTGCTTCACTCAAGCCTGTGCACGGCATGCTCCCGGCATGCGCTGTGGTCATGATTCCGGCTACAGCTGTCGCCCACAACACAGGCGGGCCCGAAAGTTCCCTGCCCATACGCTGAAACCCTAAACCCTAAACCCTAAACCCTAAATCAGGGTTATATAGCCTCAAGAGGCACGAGCCCGAGCCCAAGTCTCCCAACCCTCAAGGTGCCCAGCCTTGAACCGCCCTAGGCCCAAGACCCAAGCAGCCCCATGTGAAGTGAAGCCCAAACTCCCCCTAAACCCTAAAACCTAAACCCTAAACCCTAAACCCTAAACCCTAAACCCTGAACCCTGAACCCTAAACCCTAAACCCTAAACCCTAAACCCTAAGTGTTGTGTTGGTGACTTTTCGGTCAATCTGGACCAGTGTTGGTGACTTTCTGGTCAGTCTGACCCCAATCTTCGTGACTTTTCAGTCAATCTGGACCAGTGTTGGTGACTTTTCGGTCATGGACCAGTGTTGGTGACTTTTCGGTCAATCTGGACCAGTGTTGGTGACTTTTCGGTCAGTCTGACCCCGTGGAAAACGTGTCCGAATTGGGTAGGTAAAACTCTCTGGGTAGGATGAAAACATTATATTTTCTTAATGTCATGGGATTCTTTGGGCGGGTGGGTTTGTTTCTAAGCCTGGAACCCCCTAATGATGATGAATGCTAGAACAGTGACCCTCTAGACCCTAAACCCTAAACCCTCCCGCATCTTGGACCCCGGAGGGAGCAGTTAGTGCGCCTGGGGAAGGTTCAGTGCCAACGCCGCCAAGGCCTTTCAAAGCGCGGTGTGGCAATCGAAAATGTTGCACTTCACAGCATTTGGAGTCTATGCGCTGTCAAAAACCCTCGTTTTTTACAGCGGTTTGAGTTGCACTAGGGTTGCTTCTACATCAGTGCAGCTTGAAGTTCACCAGCGGAACAGAACGCAGAAGTTCCGGCACAAATCCCTAAACTCAAAGCTGACCAGAAAACAAGAGGTTTCGGTCTGTAGCGCGGTGCTCGAGCTAACTCTGTGCCCTGCAGGCTTCAAGTTCATAAGGCTTGAGATACAGTAAACCCTAAACCCTAGACAAACCCTAAACCCTAAACCCTAACACTCCTTCAAGCCTCAGGCTTCTCCTCAGGCCCTGGGATTCTGGAAGCTGCCAGAGATGTCAAACCAGCGGTTTGCTTGTGTATATCCCTGTCCACACTGGTCCACGGGCTCGAACTCAAATCCAGAAGGGGTTCCCTTTACCCCTGCGATGACAGTCGTACAATAACGTACAGGGGTTGGCCGCAAAAACTTCGAAGGGGGTTGGCCTGGAGGCCAGCAAACAGACACCCAGATCCCAGACCTCCCAGAGAGCGATCCGTCCGTTTCGAGCCCACGGCCCTAAACCCTAAACCCTAAACCCTAAACCCTAAACCCTAAACCCTAAACCCTAAACACGATCCTGACACTAAGAAGTGTGCTCCGAGGCCCATCCGAAGGTTAGCCAAGCCAAGCCCGCCGGAGCAAAGTCCACGCCCCAACCGTTTAGGTTTCGACTCTCACACAGCGGTTTAGGGTTTAGGGTTTAGGGTTTTAGGGTTTAGGGTTTAGGGTTTAGGGTTTAGGGTTTAGGGGCACGAAGCGGTTTAGGGTTTGTAGGGTTTAGGTTTAACCTTTCCGATGGCAGCTTCAGGCTGGCCTGGACGGCAGACGTGCGCACCGAGGCATTGGCATCCTGTGTTCACAGTCAGAGTTGGTTGGGGCCTGGTTTTGGGGACCAAATGAACTCTAAAATTGGGGTCATATACCCATTACTACTATAATTCCTATTCAGGTATATGAACCATAAGCCCTTTTAGGGTTCATTTCGTCCCCAAGGCGGTTTAGACCCTGGTGACGCCAAGCTTGCGTTTAGGTCCTTAGGTTCAGGAACAATCTGACCGAGGAATCCAGATGTTAGGTACCATGGGTTCGAAGGCGCGCGAACACCTCAGTGCATATGATACCGAGGCAACTTCTTGTTTATGGTGTGCGCGCTTCTTGCTGCCATGGAAGGTATGCTGCTTTTCGAAAATGGGATGGGAGGGGCGGGGCGCGTGTTTTTTGAAAATGGAGGTGGGCCGGGGGGGGGGGGGGGGGGGGGTTGCGGGATGGGGGGTCGATTGGCCAAGAGGTCCTACTCTCAAGCCCCGCTCAACTGCGGCGGCTTTACTTGGTTTAAGTCGACCGAATGAGCGACTGGATCAATCCCGCGCCTCCCTAGGTAGCCTTGGGCAGGACATTAGCAAAGCCACGGTATTGACAGTGTTTTCTTCACCTCCTGACAGGTGCTGTTTGTAGGCTTTGACTGCCGACCGTGCCCAGTGTGTGTCCGTTTACCTGAATTTCTGCGCGTCAACAGCCGAAGGAATTTGCGTCATCTTTGCTTGTTTTCCCACGACCCTTCATTCCACGAGGTCATTTTCGGCCCGGTGCCCCTTTTTGATGCTTCGTTTCTCCGGAAGCTTTTGGGCCGTCTTGCAAGTGTTTTTTCTGCGGTGTCTAAGCATGAAACTCAAGAGACCTGAACCTCCCCACCTGTATGCTTCGTTTCTCCGGAAGCTTTTGGGCCGTCTTGCAAGTGTTTTTTCTGCGGTGTCTAAGCATGAAACTCAAGAGACCTGAACCTCCCCACCTGTCTCCCCCCCCCCCCCCCCCCCCCCCCCACCAAAAAAAAAAAAAAAAACCTAAACCCTAAACCCTAAACCCTAAACCCTAAACCCCCCACTCATAGCGCTGAAGCTTTCGATCGTTGAGCCGAGCATCACCAAGCCCAAGTCGCAGCGACACCATGGCACCAGACAGCAGCGCTGGCCTCGAGTTGCAGGCTCAGTGTGTCCGGTTTAGGGTTTAGGGTTTAGGGTTTAGGGTTTAGGGTTTAGGGTTTAGGGTTTAGGGTTTAGGGTTTAGGTTCAGGGTTTAGGGTTTAGGGCGACGTTCAAGATTTATTCGTGGCTTCTTTTGTAGGATACAGTTAGCATGTTTTGCATGCCAAAAAAACATCGGTTTTCCAAGTTTATCTGAAACGACGATGAGGCCAAACAAAATGACGACCCTGTGCCTGAGCTTCCCGTCGCATGCGGCAGCATTGCGGAGGACCGTCTGCAAGGCACCTCTATCTCAAGCCGCTTTGCTTGAGGCTTCGTCTGATTTCCAGTATGTTACAGTATGTTCAACCAACCCCCTGGAATTCTGAACCTTTTGCCAACCTAGGGTTTAGGGTTTAGGGTTTAGGGTTCAGGGTTTCGGGTGCAAGTGAAGCGTTGCAAAGCCCACTGCCGGCGGCACCTATGGCGGCCGCCCGCACCGAGGAGTTCTGCTCGGCAGGAGCTGTGCAAGAAAGGCGCACATGATGGACCAGCCTCGATTGCTTTTCGTTTCGGGTGTGCAGGACTCAAAAGAAGCACATGTGCATAAGAGTACAGTTCTGGGGCAAGCGCCTATGCGCATTTCGTGGCTTGCATGTTCAATTCGGACATGTTCGGACCATGATTTTGTCCGTGCTACCGGCGCATGCATTGCCCAGAGCATCCCCCCCTCCCCCCCCAAAAAAAAAACACTATGATTACGTTCGTGATACTAGCGCATGCAATGGTCTAGGATTTCTTTTTTCTGGACAATAGCAATGGTGACGATCACTAGCGCCGTCGCCGAGTTGTAAGCATGTGGACTGCGCACACTTCCAGCACTCTCTCTGCGGGCTACTGTAAGCGGGCAAACAACAGCTTGAAACCGCTGAGCTTTGCCCTAAACTCTAAAGACTCCAAGCCCCATGCTGCAGCCAAGGCACCGGTCACACCAATCTGCCGAGAAGGGGTGGCCTGGGCCTCCTTTCTTCGGAGAGCGGCGTGCGTGAAGACTTCCGGCGGGGTGGTTCTTCGGTCAAGTGTTGCGGTTCAGGGCTGTTTGGGTTTCTTGGCTGGGGGAGTTGGGACGGATGAGGTCTTTTTCTTAGGGCTTCGTGTGCTGAGGCGTCGTACCTCACGATTTGATGAACCAACTTCTGCAGCAGGTCGGAGCCTCAAACATCCTCAAACGTGAATACTCTGGAGTTTGTAGTAGAGGCGCTGCATTTTCAGCATTCTAGATTTTTCGTAAGCAATGGCAAGAACGAGAACCTTCATCCACGCTGTGTATCGGCACCTTGGCTCATCACAAACTGACGGGCTCTCCTTCGATGGACGAAAGCTCGCCAAGGAAGCGAAATCCCCGAAGGCGGAGCATCGCATTGCGCTGGGTCCTGAGCTGCCCCTTGAAGCTCCAAAAGGGCTTGACCCTAAACCCTAAACCCTAAACCCTAAACCCCCTAAACCCTCCAAAAGGGCTTGAGGGTTGAGGGTTTTGGGGATAGTGCAGTGCTGCAACTTACCCCCGATTTAGGGTTTAGGTGTTCAGACTTCAGGGTTTTCGGGTGTGGTGATTGCGTGAGGGCTTTTTCTGCCTTTTAGAGTTTGGGATTTAAGGTGGGGTGATGGGCCATACATTGTTGTGGGGAAACCCTGAACCCGAAATCCCAAATCAACCCTAAACGGCGAAGCCTCATATGCCCGAAGCCCTAAACCTCAACCCTTTTCCATCCGAGCCTTGATAGCCAAGCGGCACAAGAATCCCATACAAGAGCACGAAACCCTAAGCCCTTAAACCCCAAAACCCTATGCCCTCTAAGCTATAAACCCTAACACCCTAAGCATTGAGGTGCATTCTATAATGGGAAGGAAAGACTTTTTCGGCTGAGATTGTGGCCCGAAAGTTGGTTTCATGAATGATTTCCATTAAGTTCGGTTGTCCAGCTGATATTAGCCTGATACCCTGTTTCAGGCCGGGCCGTAATCCACACCCCCCCGCCCCCCACCCCCCACCCCCACCCCCCCCCCCCCACCCCCCCCCCCCCACCCCCCCCCACCCCCCCCCCACCCCCCCCCCACCCCCCCCCCACCCCCACCCCCCCCCCCCACCCCCCCCCCCCCACCCCCCCCCCCCCCCACCCCCCCCCACCCCCCCCCCCCCCCCCACACCCCCCCCCAACAAAAAAAAAACCAACACGTTTTGTGATTCCGCCCCGGCGGGCCCCCCCCCCCCCCCCCCCCCCTCCCCCCCCCCCCCCCATGGTACCCCCCCCCCCCCCCTGGGTGTGGTTGGGGTTGGTTGGTTTTAGGGTTTTAGGGTTTAGGGTTTAGGGTTTTAGGGTTTAGGGTTTAGGGTTAGGGTTTAGGTTTTAGGGTTTTAGGGTTTTTTAGGGTTTAGGGTTTAGGGTTTTCCCCGCGGATGGGGTACTAAGATGATCCCCCCCCCCCTGTGGTGTGGTTTGGGGGGTTGGTTTTAGGGTTAGGGTTTAGGGTTCAGGGTTTAAGGGTTTAGGGTTTAAGGTTTAAGGTTTTTTAAGGTTTAGGTTAGGGTTTAGTTTTTTTTAGGTTTAGGGTTTTAGGTTTAGGTTTGGGTTTAGGGTTTAGGGTTTAGGGTTTAGGGTTTAGGGTTAGGGTTTAGGGTTTAGGGTTTTAGGGTTTAGGGTTAGGGTTTAGGGTTTAGGGTTTAGGGTTTAGGAACCGTGAGTAGTAGACTTGTGGGGGGGGGGGGGGGGATACAAGGGGGGGGGGGGGGGCCCCGACGCTCGACGCTGAACCATATATATATATATATATATATATATATACAGAGACTTTTATAAATGCATAAAACAACCTCAACCTTTATTCTTGCGCCCCATGTGCCGTCAGGGACTTCAAAAGCTGGCCTCCATAGGATCTGGTAAGCCCACAACTACCAGCTCTCAAACGCTGCAACTCACAAGGGAATGATTCGACCCTGGGCCCTGAAGGAACACAAAATACAACCGGAAACTTCCAACGCTGCAATCCTGTAACCCCTGGCCTATATAAGGTTGACCACGGCTATGCAAGCTACACCAGCATGGCATAGCCAGGGCTCACGAGGCTGAACACCAGCTGCTCAAACCTTTCAGAACTGCGAGGTTCTTATGTTTAGGGTTTAGGGTTCAGGGTTTAGGGTTTAGGGTTAAGCTGCTTTCATGCTCTGAAGGCTAAATGGGTTGTGCAAAGACCCCAAGTCATCCTCAGCCCCCAAGTCATGGTGAGGCTGCCCTACTCCGAAGCTACTGCTTGCCAAAGCCCTGAATTCCCTGGATCTTGAACTCAAACTCATGTACAACCCTAAACCCTAAACCCTAAACCCTAAACCCTAAACCCTAAACCCAGTTTTTCTTTTAGACGAAAACAAGGTACCCCTAATTTCGTAAACCCCCAAGTCAACCCAGCGGCACACACCATGACAAGCACCCACTGCGTATTTCCTTGATTAAGTGTAGCATGACAATGAGTGTTGAAGTGGCAGCAATGGAATATTTCATTAAGAGCAGTATATAAAAAGCTGTTATTTGCTTAGAACAAGGCATTGTTTGCCTAGAAAACAGAGCGTTTTCCTGCAAATAGGCACTATTGGCCTAGGGAAACCCAAAAATCAAAAACCCAAGCTTCCCCCAAAGATTCTCCCAAAAGGTTAGTTTTTGGGACTTTGGGATTGTGGGTTTTGCTAGTATTATGGCCTTTGCTAGGCAAATTCCACGCTTCAAAGCTCTATGCAAACTGTGCGGTGAACATGGTTTGTTCGAGCATGAAAGAAGTTGACAGAGAAGAAGAGGCGGCTGAGCAGATTTCAGGGCTGACAGCCGATCAACGGACACCTCTGGGTTGGATGATGAAACCGCGATAACCTTTGCAGGCCAGATTCGGCGTTGGGCAAGGCGCAGCGTTCAGTGATAGAAATTCCGTTGAAGTTGTGACATTGAGAGACCCGGAGTTGGGTTGCCAAAGCCAAAGCCGAGCGCTGTGGACGACGACGACGAGACGACGACGACATGTCTGGATTGCCTCTCGATCCAGAAAAGAGAAGAAGAAGAAGTTGCCGCCATGCACGCCTTCTCAAGTCGGCGCGAAGGCCCACGGTGAAGAGACAGGGCGAACATCGAGATCAAACTCGGGTTTGTCAACGTAACCTCGAAAAAAACAAATACAATTCACAAACACAGCCCAACATAATACCAACCAAGCCAGAAATAATGGTCAGGAACTCCTGGGAAGGTTCGATAATGCCTCGTCCTGTGTTGTCTTTGCATTGTTGCTCTTGCTATTTTTTGTGGTTGTTGGTTTGGTACTGGTATTAGATTTGTTTGCTTTGTTTCCGGCCAATATCTGTGCAAACTGAGGTTGGAGTGGGCTGCGTTCGCAACGCGTCGATCCCACCCCAGGAACTCGAACAATACAGTTACACTGCAAACATCCCGCAGACTATATGGTCACATCTCTAAATTATTGTCCTTTTGGGGCTCCTATCATAAGGCGGCCCCTCACATTTAGGGTACCCCCCGAAGCCAGGGCAACAAACGGACACAAACCCGGCACAAAACCGGCGTGAAACCTTAAACCCCACCCATGATAGCTAGAAACGCTCACCCGTGAGCCCAAAGTTGAATCTTACAAGCCCCAGATCTTCCAAAACCCATTGCTTAAGGAATATGCCCTCATTCATCATAAGGATCCTTAGTATTAAAAAAGGGTATATACCTGGAATTAAGGGGTTTTTGGAAGACCCTAAACCCTAAACCCTAAACCCTAAACCCTAAACCTGGGTACTGTACAGCTCAGGAGCAGCTTTGCGGTGGAGTCCGGAAGTGACGGCGGTGAGAAGCTGGCAAGGCGGCTGACGAGCAAAGCCAACTCCTGCGAGCCAGGTGTTTAGGGTTTAGGGTTTAGGGTTTAGGGTTTAGGGTTTAAGTGCCGGGCTTTCGGGTATGAGGGGCTTGGGGTTGGGATGTTCCTCCTTCTACTCGGGATCATAGTGCCCCATATTATAATCCCAATTGCTGTTAGCATCAGGGGGAGCATCCCAAGCTGGGGGGCTCAAGTAGATGGTTTCAGCTTCTTAGGTCCTCGGTGTTTCGGGTTCCCGGGCGGCTAATTAGGGCGGATGGTTAAAACATCCTGCGAGGCTCCTCTGTGTCCTGCAACTGCTTACCAGGTTCGGCACTCAGCAAAGAAGGGGTTACAGAGGCTTCATGAGGGCTCATGGTGGCTGCCCCTTTTGATTCTGAGATTCACCTGCTGTGTGGCCTAAGAGGTCACGCTGAGGGCACCCCTGTGAACTTGAATCCTAAGCTTGGGGCCTTTGCATCTTTCTCAACGCTCCAAGCTCCAGCACTGAGCGGTGCGAGACATGGCAACATGCACCTTGCACCCCCCTTAGGCCCTAGTTTAGGGTTTAGGGTTTAGGGTTTAGGCCCTTGGCTCCTGGAGGATTGGCGCCTCAAGCGCTTCCGCTGCTGGCTCCTCCTTGGCAGCCCGACCTGGAAATTTGGCCAGCCGGCGGTTAGGGTGAAGGGTTTCAGAAGAGGCCTTTGAGGTCCCCAGCATCTTGCAACGGTTTTCTTGGGCTGTCACACGGCAGCAGGATTCTTTCTAACGTTGCAGTGTTCTGGATGTCAGGGGGTTTGGGGCTGGATTTCTATAGCACCTGAAAGGTTTTGGCTAGGGCTCGGGCTCTTTTCGGAGGTGGAAAAGCCAAGGCAAAACACTTTCGGCTGAGGCTCGGGGGTTGCAGTACAGCTTGCAGTGAAACTGACATGCCACTGATCGGTAGAGGTGGAGAGGCCATCTGTTCAACAGCTTTCTGTTTTTGGATGACGGGACAAGCCCATGTCCCACAACCTTCCCGATACAGCCCATGACCCTGGCCATGTGTTATGCTGCAACCGCCCTCCTGTGCAGCCACATGCACTCTACGCCCCGCACATGCAAACCTCAATGCAGACCCCCCTCGCCCCCCGAGCCCGGCCGCAAGCCTTTGCCTTTCCGGGAGCCCGATTTGGCGGCTGGCGCGGCTGCTTGGCTGGGCAACGGTGGCCCAGGAAGCTGCATGAGGTGGAGCAGGTGCTTCCTGATCATTGTAACAGTTCAGGGTTTAAGGTTCAGGGCTTAGGGTTTAGGATACGTATACCCTATTTACCCAAGTGCTTGTTAAGGGCGGGAACGTTTTGGGTGTACAGCAGCTGTTTCGTTTGTTGCTTCCTCTAAACCTCCGATTCTTCGTGTGAAGAAACCTCAAGAAACGGCAGAGAAACACAACCCCATAAATCGAAAAGGCAATCCAAGGCTCTTGAACGAACTAGAAAGGGAAAAGGAAACCGGAAAACACAACTCCCCAAATCGAACACCTCATACATAGACAGAAACAACCTTCCGGGACCCTTTGAAACACACAGGAAGTGCATTTTTGGAGTTTGATTTTTGGTTTCGCTTATTCTATCTCGCAAAGGTCCTGGAATTGGTGTCTTGATGTGTTTTTCTGCACTAAACAAATACACATGGTACACACAGAAATAGAGATGTTGTATCGTTTCGGTGTCACTGCCTTCGCAAATTTAGCGTTGTGCGGTGTGTGTTTATGCTGGGCTTGGGTTCTCCCAAGTCCAAGAAAGTTGGTTTCGGTTTTTCGGGCTTGCAGGGGAGCGTGGCTGCTCAAAGCAGGGTGTGTTTTGAAGGTTTTCGTATCTTTCGCGAGGCCAGGGGCCTTGAGGGAACACTGCTTTCCTCATCATATGCAAGAAGCCGGGGAGAGGAAGGCGAGAACAAGCCCTTTGTTTGTTGGCCATCCTTTGGACATCTGTCCAGCTTTATTGGAACCATGTTTCTGGAGCCCGGCCTCCGGTCCAAAAAACCCTAAACACCTAAGGTAAGCTAGGAAGCCTTAATCGCATGAGGATCAAGCGAGAGGTTCATATCTGAGAGTCAAAGGATTGTAGGGTTACCCCCCGTTCGTTTCTCGAAAGCAGACAAAGCGTCAGGAAGTCGTTCGCCGGCAGGTGTGGCGAGGACCCGCAGAACAGGAAAGCCTGAGTTTTGTGCTCCTCTTTGAGGTGGCCCCCTCTCAGCCCTTATGCCAAGGTGAGAAGCGTTCCTTCGACAGTGCGTCTATGATTTCCATTGTTCACATCAGGATGTCTAGTGTATAGGGCTCTCTGCCACGGTTCCGTCACTTCAACAGCTGCAAGCACCGACTCCCAGCCACGACGTGCAGAATTGTCTCATGTGCGGCATCGTTTTTTTCTCGGCTTTGGGTAATGAAGGCGAACGCGAAGTACCGAGAGGAGGTCAAGGCCTAAATCCCTTGCTGATGCCCTTGAAACACAGCTCCGAACTACAAAAACAAGACTCAACAAACCGACTGTTTCGTGCCTGTGTGCAGCTCAGCAACACTCAGCTCGCTGGCACAGTCGTCTCGTTTCAGAACCTGGGCGGAACTTCTCTGAAAATACAAACAACATGCTGCTCAACTCATGAACGGACATGTGCTCCAAGGTTGAAATCATTGAGCTGGACCCTATATGTCCTTTCTGATATGGGAAATTCCATCCGTGAAGCACAGCGTCACAGAAGCTCGAAAAGTCTGCGCTTAGGATACTGCAGACACAAGGCTTGGATGGAGTTGATGCATGACCTCCTAAACTTGAAGCTTGTCATCCAGGTGCTCTATTTCAAGGCGCGCAAATAACCATCCACACAAAACGTCTCGAATGTGTCCGGCAAGGATAGCAGAAACGGGCTTCAAAGGTCCTTAATGTCGAAGGAGTCGTGAAGACACTCTGCCATCTCCAGCCGGGGAACAGCAGAGACGGCAGCAATTGTGCTGGACAGCACTGGGGGCACCGCCTCCTTAACTCTAGTCCATGGTGCCAAGACACCAAAGAATTGACAATCATAGCTTGGGATGTTCCCCCTAGACCAACAGTCCTGAATAGGGATGTGAGTATCCCCTATTGTAATCCTTATTAAGGACTGTTTGCGTAAGGGGGAACATCCCACATCATCGCATTTTCCAGATATGTGAGCCTCAAGGGTGGTGAGCACGCTCAAACCCTCGGCAAAGACCATCAGCTTCCTTGGCTGGTCAAGCATGTTGTGCCGAAGACATCCGAGTCCGAAGACCGGATGGGTTGAAAGCGTCGGCAGTTTGGATTGTCACCTGTCTTTCGTGCTGTGCGGCCTCTCAAAAATGCATCGTTCGGGCAGCTGAGTTCAAGGTTACTGGGCTTTGGGACCAAGAATTGGGAGTGCACAGCAGGGTATTCCGCAAACAAAAGAAGCTAGATCGAAGTCTTAGCACTTTTTTCAGATGCGCTGATAACTTGTGCTGCTGGTTTATAAGTCAGTGACTGGTTCACAGGCAGGCTATGATGGGCTGCGCCTACGTAGTTGGAATGCCCATGGCTGGTGTTTAGAAGGGTTCCCAATTACAAAGGTTGGAGTTCCAGGTCCACACAGTGTCCCGACATCGTGTTTGCTATCGTCACTGTTGCACCTTCGTTTGGTGTTGACGCATCAAGTGCTGACACTTCTGCGGATGAAGCGATATGATGGCGGAAGCCCTGAAGAAGCATCCTCTCGATTTTTCCACGACTCTTGCTTGAGTTCCACGCAGGGCCAATAAAGACAAAACTGGGAAGCCAAATGACGAGGCACTTCTGTTGAGTATTTGTCCTCCTTTGAAGACTGAACTTGACTAGGCGGTGTGGAAATAGCTTCGTAGGGTCGATAGCAACAGCTTCTCCAGGCCACTTCTGTCAACCTATGACCATCCAGCTCGACCACTCGGTAAGTGTCTCTTGTCTACGGGCAAAGGTGGTGAATGGCGTGCATAAGAATCGCTGACGCTGTTGATAGACAACTAAAGAAGTGGCTTCTCAAAACATGCACAATACACTCACACGTGCCAACGTTGTCAGTTTTCAAGCTCTGTGCATTCATTGAGCTTGAGATATCTCCATCATGGTTGAGGCAACGCAGCAACCACGAGTTCACCCAGGCTCTCAAAAAATAGAATGACCCCTCCCCCCCTTGCCTCCCCTACCGTGCGTTCCCGTAAGAAAGGATCGACGAGCCAATCGCAACTCCGCACAGCAACACAGAAAGGTCTTCACGGCTGGAACTACCCAGCGTGGCTACGCACCCACCCGTGTTGTGCATCACAGACAAGGATGGGCTGTTAGGCCCTATAACCCCCATAAACAGCCCTAAACAAAGGACCTTTTTTAAGGGTTATAGGGTCTAATGGCCCGTCCTGGGATTCAATTGTTTGAGACCATGAAAAGCTGCCAAAGAGCCGCAGCATCTCCGAGAGCAACCCGCTTTGGAGTTTCCTCAAAGTCTCACACACTCACATGAAGCCGGGTTTAGGGTTTAGGGTTTAGGGTTTAGGGTTTAGGGTTTAGGGTTTAGGGTTTAGTTATATTTCTTGTACCCCCAACAGGACACCCTATACATTCACTCACCAATATTAAAAAGGGACCTTACATACACTTAAACCCTGTTTCACATACAGCCCCACTCCCATACTAAGCAACTCTTTCCAGACAGGGATCATGGTTGCGCATGCCCTATGTCCTAGCTGCGTCAGATGCTGAACCTTACCAGCAAGAACTCTCCGCTGTCTACAAGTTGTGCCCTTGGAAGCGTGAGATTGCATTTTAATTCCAAGTTCCAAGGTAGTTGCAAAGCTGCACATGGGGGCTTGCGAAAATAGGGGGACCCCTAACATAGACCCCCAAATAATAGGATTCCCTTCTCACAAGGTACTCCTAATTTCGGAAACCCCCACATGTGGTCATCTACGTACCTGCTGGGAACTTCAAGATTGGGGCTCCATCTGAAGAGGGCACCGAGGGTTTAGGGTGTAGGGTTTACGGGTACCGACATTATGTGGTCATAACTGAGCAAGACATCTGCTCGCATCTTGGCATTGAAACTAGATGGACTTCAGTACTTAGTTGCTGAGTTCAGAAGCCCCGAAAAAGTGTACATTTACAGTTCTATAGGGGGGTTCTTGTATCCCAAAAAGCGTAAAGTGTGCTCACTCAGCTTCTAGGAGCATGAGTGGGCGGGTCGGAATTGATGATGCAAGCGTCTAGAGTCTCCAGGGTTGTCTGGTGGCACTTTGCAAGAACTTGCTCCAGCATTCCGGTGTCTGCCGTCAAGGCTCGTGTATGGTGTGCTAGCAGCAAGATCACCTCAGTCTCCAGAAGTGCGAGCACAGTACGGGTGTGGTTTAGGGTTTAGGGCTTAGGGTGTAGGATTTAGGGCTTTTAGGGTTTAGGGTTTAGGGTTTAGGGTTTAGGGTTTAGGGTTTAGGGGAACTGGAACTCCGAAATCCTGCCACAGAAGCCAGCTGACTCGTACCCGGATCCGAATAAACGGTTCGTCATGGGAAACTTATGGAACCTTGTGAACCACCCAAGGTTGCAAACTTAGGGTTTAGACCCTATAGGGGTTTGGGTTTTAAATCAACCTGGAACATATATCCGTCTTGCCCTATGCTGCACCTCTGCAGGGAATGAAAGAGGCTGGCCACCTTCCTTCGACACAGGACATGAGCCCCGCATACAAAGTCACGGCGGAGATGTCTTCTTTTGTTGGGCCCTTTTTGCTAGGTGTGGCGGGTTTTCTTCTCTTGGGTGCGGCAGGCCTGGCGGGACTTTTTTCCTCAGTGTGGCGGGCCATTTTTCCTACATACGGCTAGGTGTGGAGGGTTTGTCTTTGCTAGATGTGGGGCCCTTCTTTCCCTGGGTGCGGTGGGGCCCCTTGGGTCCCTCGGTGCGGCGGGACATTTTGTATCCGAGGTGTGTGTGGGACCTTTGTTGGTGCGGCGGGACCCTTTTTCCCTAGGTGCGGCGGGATTTTCTTTCCCAAATGTGGCAGGGCCTTACGATGACGGGTTTAGAAAGCATTCATACGGTTTTTGGAGCCATTTCAAGCTTGCATGTTTACAATACCCCCCCCCCCCCCCCCCCCCGCTGAGCCCCTGCATGGGGATCAAGTAGGGGATTGCAGTAGTAAGCCCTTCAGCGGCTGACTTGAGGTCGCTGAGGTTAACGAAGTCATTGATGACGGTGCAGGCAGGCGAGCTGCAGAACGACGCGGATTCTCAGGATGAAGGGTTCTTTTCCAGCAGCAACGGAGCAAAGGCGCGGGCGATGGAAAGTGGCCAGTTGTTTCAGGCCCAGGTGCAAGGCGCTGCCGCACAAGTCCGAGCCCTTCAGGCGCGGAGCGACCCGCGGGGTGGTGCAACGAAACGTCACAGCAGTGCCCCGGACAGGGTGAGCCGCAAGTTCAGCAGAGGTGTTCCTTGCTCTGTTTGGTGGTTCGCTGTGAGCCTTCGGTGAGGCTCCCTGACATGGTTGGTGGCGCAGTCGGTTATGATCGGGGAAAAGGCAAGTTCGAGTGCGAACCGGGCTCGCCCAGGTCCGCAGATCTCATAGGCGAGTGAAATGCGACAGGCGACGACGCTTATCCGCTACCAGTTTTCAACAAAGCCGCAGTCATGCCTTGTTTCGCACTGCATATATACCCTGGTAGACTCAAGCGCGCCCTATAAGCCGATGCGGCAACAAGATGCACTTTGTCATACTTATACGTCACGGTCTGTGCAAAACTAGATCGGCTTCACACAAATCTTTGTGTTGTGCTGCCGTGCTGCCACAGGCTCGCAGGGCGTTCTGCACGTCAACGGCCTCGCAGGCTCTCAAGACTTCGACAGGTGTTCCCTAAACCCTAAACCCTAAACCCTAAACCCCCACCCTAAACCCTAAACCCTAAACCCTACAGAACTCTTGAATCACTCCATCTTGGAGAAGCCTGAGGCCTCACACATGCGTTTGGGGTTTGGGGCCCTAGGTGCTGAGGATGCCCTCAGATCTTGTACTGCCCAGATCTTCCAAGACCCTTTAATTAAGGTATATACCCTAATTTATAATGAGGAATCCTATAATGAGGATCCTAGTATAAAATTAGGGGATATTCCTTGTTTAAGGGTTTTGGAAGATCTGGTACTGGTTGGTATACGTTTTCGGAGGATGCTGCCTGTGCTCTGGAGTTCTCTCAGCAAGAGCGCTGCTTGACAAGATCCATCTCATGACTGCACATGCTTAAAAAGTTTCGCTGGGCTCGAAACAAGAAAGAAGACTCTGAAGTAATCTGGATTGTAACAGGGGGTACTGTAATCTCTTTTAAGGACTGATAAGTATAAGGGGACTTTTAAGGACTGTTCAATATAAGGGGGAACATCCCAAGCCCTAAGCCCTAGACCCTAAACCCATAATCCCTATTAAGGAGCTGTTAGTATAAGGGGGGAACATCCCAAGTGAGCACGCGAAGACTCTGGCCTGCCCACCGCCGAGAAGCGCGAAGACGACGGCATGCGCCTGCCGCCTGAGCGTTCCATAGTCAGTGCCGGGAAAGGTTAGGGTTTGGGTTTAGGGTTTAGGGTTTGGGTTTAGGTTTAGGGTTTAGGGTTTTAGGGTTAGGTTTTAGGGTTTAGGGTTTAGGGTTTAGGGTTTGGGGTTTGGGGTTTGGGGTTAGGGTTTAGGGTTAGGGTTTAGGGTTTTGAGTTTCGGGTTTAAGGTTTAGGGTTTAGGGTTTAGGGTTTACAGTGAACACTTTGACTAGGACTCAAACTGACCCAAATGCAAACAACAGCCTTTTTGCCCTTGCGGGCAGCACGCGAACCTCTGTGGCCGGCCTCATCTTCTGAAAGACTCTATACTAACAGTACTCAATAGGGACTGTAGCACACCTATTGTAATCCCTGTTAAGGACTGTTAGTGTAAGGGGGAACATCCCAACTCATTGATGCCAGCTGCAGTGTGATCGCCAGCTGGCCAGTCAGCGACGCACTACCTCGGACGCTTATCAGTTGCTCAGGTGCTATGCGTACTAGCCTTGACCTGCGGTCGACGTCAGAGTACTGGCTGCACTCCTAAAGCCTTAGCCTAGAGATGCTGCGCCAAGAACTCCCATATCAAGTCAATGAAGTCTGTGAGGTTCTGTGAGTCGAGATCTGCACCAGTCCCTCGCACCATCAATGCATGCGCGTGGGCCGCTTTAAACACCTCCGCTGGACCCTAAACCCTGAACCAATGCAGCTTACTCTGGGTTGATATTCGCCACTTAGAATGAGCAGCACAAATGGGTCGACACCCGAATGTCTGTAGATTTTCGGTTGATTGAGTGCAGTCAATGATCGAAACCCACGTCATGCGGGACATGATCTGCTCAAGGCGGCCCTACCACCCGGTATCTGCCTCGGCCCTCAACAACCCCAGCTGCAAAACCCTGACACTCTAAAAATCGCCTGCGCTCTGAAGCCCTCAAACTTCACGATGCCGAGGTGCTTTGCACCTTCTGACTCTCCAAGGGAACTGGCCAACTTCCTGAAAGCACCGGATTAGGGTTTAGGGAAGGTCTTTTTGCAAGCTCCGGACTGCTTCGTAAGGTGCCGTGTTGTCTTCCGTCAGCGTACTGCTTGCCGTTGCCACTGTTCTACGATTTGCTTACGAACCCCCCCCCCCCCCCCCCCCCCCGAAAACATAACAAGATACCAATCCCTCTAAGGAAGAGTATATATTCCTAAACCCTAAGCCCTAAATTAAGCAAATAGTAGTGTTGCTGCAAGCTGCGGACGTTGGGTGCTGCAAGCAGCGCGCAAAGTGCACCCAGGGCCGCGGAGCGGACTTTCGGTGCCGGATCCTTCGGCCACTCTCAGGTTCTGACAAAGGGTTTAAGGTACAGGGTTTAGGGTGTACGGTTTAGGGTACAGGGTTTTGGGTCTAGGGTTTTCCGATAATCAGGGACCCCTTATCTACCCCCAAACCAGCCTGCTGATGTTGGCTGTAAAGGTGTCGTACTATAATACCTCCCCCCCCCTCCCAAAGACAAAAAAACTATTCCAATAATTAAGGCCCCTATTTTGTTCTCTTTTTGGGGTGGGGGAACTGCTTTTGCTCGGAAGGGAGGTCTGCATGCAGCGAGCCGCCTTCATGAAGGTTTGGGCTTTCAAGACTAAAGTGACTAAAGGGAGGACACCTTGTAAGGGACCATAGGGGTTATTTAGGAGCTACTTAGGTATATATGCAGTATCAACCCAAACACTCTCATTTCTCCATTGTTAAATCGCATTCTAGGCACGAAAATCAGTCGACTTGCCACAAGGAAAACTGATCCTGGTCAATCCCTGGCTCCATAGGCCGATGCCTTATGAATTGGGCCACAGGACCTCTGGCGAAACTGCTGTGCTGTTTCTTGGTGGAAGAACAGGGAATGAAATCTTCCTCTAGACCTCAGAGTAACCTAGGAATAAACGAGGGCGCCCTTTTTGGTTTCAAGGGGCTTCTTTCAGGGAACCTAAACCCTAAAAAAAGGGGAATAAGTGCCTACCCTGGGTCCGAGGTTTGGGGCAGCTTCCCGCCTGCTGGCAAATGGACAGGAGCATGGGCAGTGGCGTCGAGCCGGTTGGACGGCAGACCTCCAACTGCTTGCCCTGGAGGCCCTAAACCCAAAACCCTAAACCCTAAACCCGAAGCCCTCAACCCTTAAACCCTAAACCCTAAACCCTTAACCCCTAAACCCTAAAGGGGTTGCAAGGAGACCTCTGCATTCAACATAAGCTGTGGGCAACCAAGGCCCGCCTCGCCAGATTGAAAGTCGAGGACGAGGGCCCAACGTCCTTGAATTTCTGCTGCACGGCACTGGGTATAGGGTTTAGGGCTTAGGGATTGGAGTTAGGGTTTAGGATTTAGGGTTTAGGGTTTAGGGTTTACTCGGCGCTATCTCTGAGTCTGAGCAACTGAGCGCGACTGCACTGTGAACCAGCACATTATCGGGACCATCCCCCAGCAGCATCGGAACTACAGGGCGGCATCCCACTTCACCAGCCGATCCGACAGGGTTTAGGGTTTAGGGTTTAGGGCTTGGGGTTTAGGGTTGGCACTGAGGCACCCCAAGTTGTGTGTTCACTTGCTGTCTGATACTTCCGATGCCAGTCACGACTTTACTGTGTTGCATCAAGAAGGAACCAGGACGGGCTATTAGACCCTATAACCCTTAAAAAAAGGTGTTTATAGGGCTGCTTATGGGGGTTATAGGGCCTAAAAGCCCATCCTGGAACCAAAAACAACCTACAGCTGTTGTCACAGTATACTCGACAAGAAGAATTAAACAGTCTCGCGCTGTTACAGCTAAGGTCCTAGTGCCGAAAGCATGACCCAAAAGCGACTCCTCAAATGGCGCAGTACAGTAGGAAATCGACACCATGCATTGCAAGTATGTGAGTTCGATGTTGCAAAACCTTACAAAGAGCAATGCGCAGCGAAGTACATGCGCCATCACTTCACATGTCACCCAAACCACAAAGCCCAAACCCCAAACCCTGGACCCCAACCCCCAAACCCCAAACCCCAAACCCTAGACCCCAAACCATCCTAAACCCGAAACCCTAAACCCTAAACCCTAATTACACCCGCAACCTAACTTTGCTGGGCATTGCTTCCCTGGAGCAGTTCAGCAAAGATGCCCAAAAGCCCAAGAGATGGGAGTGAAGGCTCAAGCTGTCGAGAGTCTAGGGTTTAGGGTTGCATCTTGAGTTCCTGTACTCCCCTTACACTGGAAGCCAACCCCCCCCCCCCCCCCCCCCCCAAAAAAAAAAAAACAAAAAAACCCAAAACCCAAAAGCTAAACTCTAAACCACCCCCAGCCCCCATGAGACCGCTGCCTAGACCCTGAGCCGCAAAAGGGAAGAGGAACTTTTTGCGGACACTTTCCCATGGCAATGGGAGGCCAAGAGGCCGAAGAAGGCCTTCGGCCAAAGCCTCAGTGCTTGTATCGAGCTTTGGTTCTAGGGCGTCCGATTTCTTGTGTGTGTGTGCGCGTTCGTGCATGCGTTCGTGCGTACACGCGCTTGTTTGCTGTTGGTCATTGAGTGAGTCAGCCTCTCTGTCGGTCTGAGTGTCTGTCTGCATGCCGGTCTCTCGGCTACTGTTTTGCTTAAGAAGCCCGAAAGAATAAAAAACAAAGATCCACATATTACCCTTAATAAGGGAGAATCTTTTTTTCGGGGTTTTCGGGGTTCTTAAGCAATTAGCAGGAGTTGGTCAATGTTTAGGGCATCTTGTCTTGACTTGCTTAAGACTCTGCAACCCCTGAAGTGTTTAGAGGATGATCCCGTCAGGTCACAAAGCCCTAAACCCTAAACCCTAAATCCTCAACCCTAAACCCTAAACCCTAAAAGTTCTGTAAGTTTGGGCCGCTGGGCTTGAACAGGTGGGCGAAATCGCGAAGCGCAGCTGTGCGGCACTGGGCCTGCGCAATTTAAGGTTTAGGGTTTAGGGTTTAGGGCTGAGTACCCTGGTCCAAAACAAGGTTCACCTCTCAATAATGGTAGGATTGTATATATCCCAAAAGGTTAATTAAAGGTCATCGACTCAGCCACTAGATCGTGTGTTTCTTTTACCCGGGCGTGATTAGAGCTTGTGGGCACAAGTGCCCGAAGGCTGAAGGGCCTGTGTGGGGTCTGCGGCTTTTCACACTTGCTCCAGTGGAGGGCATCAGGGGGTTTAGGGTTTAGGGACAGTGGCAGGGGGATGGGTGATGAGCTCGACATACCTTCTGAAGTTGCATTCGTGGCCTGCAAGGCACGGGGTATAGTGGGATGATGCGGGATGATCTGGGATGTCCCCCTCGAGGCAAGAAAGGCAAGGCCTGCAACGAACTGGCCGCAGTTGTGCCATCCGTGTTCTCGTGGCGATGGCCTGGGACGGCGGCTCGTTTAGACGCGAAAGCTCGGGAGGGCCAGTGGGGGGAAGGAGGGGGGCACCCAAAGAATTTTCAGAAAACATTTGTTCCCACCCCCCCCTGCATTTGCAACACACAATGTTTTTCTGGGATCCTTAAAGCATCCTGATGTTCATGTCCATAGCAGGAGCACAATGCCCCCCCCCCCCCCCCAACCTTGTTTTGTTTGGCCTACTGCTGAAGGCCTTGTGCTGTTGAGCTTACCTGTTTTAGCATTTCAGGCTTTTGCGGCCTGCGCTGTTTAAGGTCCGCTTAGGGTTGCTGGGGACTAGGGTGACTAGAGGACCACTATTTGATTTGCTGATCCTAAATATTTGTTTTTTTGATCCGCATGCCTTCCTCCCACGGCCATTCTTAGCAGCTTGTTCTCAAAAGCGGCAGCAGACAGTCTGTGGGCCCCTTTGAGGTGATTGGGTGTGAGGAAAAATACTCAGCCTCGACATCAGTTCAGTGCAGTTCAGTGCGATTGTCCGCCACAAGTTCGACATTTCCTGAAATTACCCCGACACTCGCAGATTTCGTTCCAACCCCTAAAACCCTAAACCCTAAACCCCTAAACCCTAAGCTCGGATTGCAGAGAGCACTCAGCTCCAAACCTCGACTTTTCGTTTCCACCGCGCTGCTGATGGCATCCGTCTCGGACCTTAGGCATGGTATGCAAGGCTTCTGCTCCAAGAGGCTGCAGGGGGTCCATCCTGCGGGACCAAAAGAACCCTAACAGGGGTTTATAGTCCATATACCTTAGCAGGAATTATAGTAAGGGTAGATAACCCCCAAAAGGGCCCTAAAAGGGTTTAGGGTCCATATACCTCAATAGGAATTATAGTAGTATAGAGTATATAACCCCATTTTAGGCTTCATTTTCGTCTGCAAGGGATTTCACAGAGAGGAAGCACTCTGGGCAAAAAGCAGCAATGATCCATCCTTCAGGCTCGGTGTTTTGATGGGTTTAGGGTTTAGGGTTTAGGGTTTAGGGTTTAGGGTTTAGGGTTTAGGGTTTAGGGTTTAGGGTCCCGAGCCGATTTCAAAATGCAATCGCAGTTCTCGTCTTCGGGCCCATTCACTCGTCTCCTCTATAGTGCGTGAAGATGAGCCGTGGTGTGATCTTTGGCAAGAGCCCGCTGATCCCACAGAATCTCTCGAAACTCGCACTTAGAATCTGGCCAGACAGCCCTAAGCCCCGTACCCTGAACCCCTAAACCCTAAACCCCTGGAGCCTGAATGCATGTTCTGCCTAATGGAGCTCCTGCACCCCAAGCCTCCAACCTCCCGCCGAGCGGCCAGGAGCAGTCCTCAGCTCAGGAGCTGGCAAAATTTTAAAGCTTTCGATGTGAAAGGGGTTTCAGTTAGGGTTTTGGGTTTAGGGTTTAGGGTGCAGAACCCCTAAACCAAAACTTTGAACCCTTAAACCCAATGACAAACTTAACTTGCGTCCCAAGCTCACAAAGCTCACTTAAGCGCCCGACACAAAGTAAGCCGAAGCCGAGCCCAGACCACGACAACCCTGGCAATTCAACACCTCTGCAGCTTGCTGCCCCAAGCCAAATAAGCCAACAGCCACTTTCAAGTTTTTGGCGATTTAACATCCTAGCCCGGCATCCGAAGAGGGCAAGCCAGGTGGACCCGCTGGTGCAGCAGCAGCAGGACGACGGCCAGGGAGGACCTAAGATTGTTTGAGGAGACGGAGGGAGGGAGGGAGGGAGAGAGAGAGAGAGGGAGAGGCTTTGAAGAGTGGCAGTAACTAGAACCGACTACTCGCTGCACCCAGAGGTAGAAAGGCGGAGACGGTGGGACCGTTTTTTTGTAAGGCTTTTGGGCTTACGGCTAGGGCTTGGAGCTCGCAGTTCAGTTTTTGCGAGCGGGCTCGGGTCTTGGGGTTCAGGCTTGTCAAAACACTACCCACAATCAAACTTGCAAGGCGCTGGTTGAACAAGTTTACTCTTAAATGCCTCCCCATCAGAATAGTTAAGCGCGAAGGTTTGAGCTACTATGAATGGAGGAAATCTTGCACCGCTTTTCAGGGTGCATAACATTCTCTCCCTCGCCCCCCTTTTAACATTGCGGCGAAAAAACAGATTTTCAGGATTTGGCCCAATGACACAAATCTTGCACCAATCACCAATGTTAAAAAGGGGTTGTGGGGTTGGCGTCAGACGGTGTGTCTGGAGCAGATCAAGAGGGTGGTGCAAGATTTCCTCCATCCACCGTAGCTGCGGTGGGGAAGCTGTCGAAGGAACCCAGACCTTCCAAAACCCCTTAATTAAGGTATATACTCTAATTCATAATAAGGATCCTTCGTATAGATTAGGGTATATTCCTTAATTAAGGGGTTTTGGAAGATCTGGGAATGCAGCACAGCCTTTTTACAGTATAGACCACTTACATCCGCAGGTCCAAGCACCCACGCCTTGGCAGAAAACTGTGCATCCTTTTTGACTGGCCCCACGCCTGCTACGGCTGCTTGGGGACGAGATGAGCCCTAATATGGGGAATATATACCCTATACTACTAGAACTCCTATGAGGGCAGATGATTCATAAACTAACCCTTTTAGGGCTCACTTGGTCCCCAAGGAAAGTTTCCTGTTGGGCGCCATGCGCCTTAGCACCCGTAGATACCCTAAACCCTAAACCCTAAACCCTAAACCCTAAACCCAAACCCTAAACCCTAAACCCTAAACCCTCTTGAAAATCCACTTGGAATGCCAAAGGCCAAGACGAGGAGCGTAAGGTGCTCCCACGACCGCCACCGGCTGCAAGCATGCCAAGATCACCTCAAGAAGGAAACCGCAACTAAACCCTAAACCCTAAAACCTAATCCCTAAACGCCGCACCCTGAGAACCTTTTCATCGTCTGCGATGTACATCTGATCGAAGCATCATCCGACCAGTCGACCACCGGAGGTTCGGACTAACAGACTAACACCCGATGGTTTAGGGTTTAGGGTTTAGGGTTTAGGGTTGTGGTGTAATACAGGACGGACCGCTATCCCGGTCCGCTTTCGCAGACGCAAGACGCCCAGGAAACAGGATGGGTGGGAGAGAATTTCTCAGGGATCTTTCGCCAAACTGGCGACCGCATCAAGCAAAGTTCACACACACACACATCCTCTTGGTACGCTTCTTCTACTACATCTACGCTTCGCCACATTCTGGAGTCCAATAATGGGGTTCACACAAACATTCATCTACGCAATATGTGTGTGTGTGTGTGAGTGAGTGAGTGAGTGAGTGTGTGTGTGTGTGTGTGAGTGAGTGTGATAGCGTGTGTGTGTGTGTGTCTTGTTAGCTTCGTTGCCTGGCATCACTCAACAAGCTGCCACCCTGCTTGTTTGTAAGCGAGGCACTAGCTGTTGATAGCTGTCGCAGGAAGTGAAGTAAAAAAAAAGACAAGCCCTTTGTAGTTGGGGTTCCCCCCCACACACACACACACACACCGGCCTCCAATCAAGGAGGGAATACAACGACTGCACTTGAAAGTTTCCAGGAGGAACATGCGCTTCTTTTCTTTCTTCAACAATGAAGCCTTCCGAGACCTTTTGTAGCTTCTCACCATTGAGGGTTCTGCCAAACCTCAAGCCCCAAGCCCGCCAAGTCCGCTCTTCTCCTTAAGCTACCCTCGTCATGTTCGCCCCGGGCCACCAGTGCAGAGGGCTCCAGCTCCCGGCCAACCTGATGGGGAAACTATGTGCGCAGACTTGCACCTCAACCTCTAAACCCTTCCCATGAGTAACTAAACCCCCCAGTGTTTGAACAAACTGTTGGCCCGGCCCCTCTCCCGGGGACTAGATACCAAAAAAGCATTCGGGGGTGGATTTGAGGCTTGGGGCAGGGGTTCAGGCTCTTCTAAGACTTTCCGGATATGCCGACCCAACCTAAACCCTAAACCCTAAACCCAGAAACTTTGTACTCTGAGGAAGCAGTGAGAACTGACACTGGGAGCTTGCACGCTGAGGCTAGTCAGGAACCAAAACTGTGGCCCTTGGGGAGCTCAAGATGCCACCGTTTTTTTGTGGCTTGCAACCCTAAACCCTATAAGCCCTAAGCCCTAAGCCCTAAACCAGTCCGGGGTTCGAATGCTTATGGTCTGGTGCGAGTAAGATTCGGCTTTGTTAGGGTTTAGGGTATACGGTTATAGGGTTTAGGGTTACAGGCTATAGGGTTTAGTTGGGGCGGCGATATCTCTCAAACCCAGCGCCTGCTCGATCAAAGCCGGTAGTGCTGTCAGAAGGCTAGCAGCCTGAACGTCAAACACGAAGATAAAGGGTTGAGGGCTGACGGAGGTGGGAGGGGTAAGATGGCAAACGTGATGGATGCGCCGCATATCCGAAGAAACCTGCATCCATTCCCTAATGGTCTTAGAACGAAGGCTGGTTCCAGGGAATCGCAATGTGCCATCATGGCCAAAACGACTGTCGGTTGTTACAGGCTTTCAGGCTTCGGATTTGCGCCCACAGCTTTTGCGGTGTTGGTCCTTAGGATTGCAGTTTTTGGCGCTTCTGTTTTTCGGTTTTAAGCTTCAGGTTGAGATGAGTGTACGTAGCCTGGATCATGTCTTGCGGTTCTTCAGGGGTTTTGTGACATGGCCTCGCGCAGAACGGACCGCGCTGATCGATTGCGCTGCTGCTGCAAGGTGTCGGACAACACGTGCAGCGCTGACGTGATGGCCTCGGCTTCACATTATTTAGAAGCTGCAGCGCCGCGCGTGCACTCCCCAACTGATCCTGCCAGGACACCCCAAAGTACTGAAGCCAACGAACTCTCTACCCCAATCACCGAGAGTTCTCCATTTAGTGCAGTGGGTTTTTTCCAGCTCTGACCCGCTCCCACCTCCTCCCACCCTGCTGCACCCTGCTCTTTTCCCGCGAAGTTGAGCCGCGAACCCTCCACTCTAAGATTTGTGGGCGGGGGAAACCCGGTCAAACCCCCGATCCCCTTCAAAACAAGGCCAAGCCCAACCAACCCCACCCCAACCCCGCCCCCCCAAAAAAAAACTCAGATTCCCAAACGCCTGGCCCCCCGTGGAGAACTAACCTAAACCCGAAACCCCTAACCCCTAACCCCTAAACCCTAAACCCTAAACCCTGAACCTTAAACCCTAAACCCTAAACCCCACAGACCAAGGCGCGGTGGCAACTTTGGCCGGCTGCTGCCTCGCTGCGTGGACTTCGCAGAAACGCTTTCAGCCCTAGAACCGAAGGCTAAACAACCAACTGCTGCTTAAGAGCCCACAAAAAAAGAAAAAACAAAAACAATCCCTATATTGCCCGTATGAGGAAGAATATCTATTCATTGGGGGGGGTATCAACCGGGGGTTCTTCAGCCGTAGTTAACTAGGCTGCTCAATAACCTACGTAGGCTTAAAAAGGGTGCCCCTTTTTTGCTTAAAGGGGTTTATAAGGGAACCTAAACCCCCCAAAAGGGAATAAGGGTACTACTGGGCATCCTAGTTAAGGTTTGGGAGTGTAGGTGTAATAGCTTGTGGCAAGATGGATGTTCAAAAGTGCACACCATGGCGGTCCGGCACTATACAGGCCCAACATGAGGTCTCTGCAGCGAGCCACCGCAGGGCGGAGGGGTGGAGCTCCACTATCTTCTGGAGACACAGCAGGCCTTGGCTACCTTGGCAACATGCTTGTCGCTTTCTGGTGAAGGGCCAGGTCTGACCTAGGCATCTTACAGCACTCAGAGCTTTCTCAAACGTACGCAGCCAGCGACTACATACAAGCAAGTTCTTGGCCCTGCGCTACAAGCTAAGCCTTGGACAGGCATGGCACGAGGTTATGCAACACTCATGAGCGCAGAACACGACGCTGCAATTCCCATTCCCCCTCCTGCAGCCTGAGCCCTCCCTCCAACTTGCGACAGAACTAACTGGCCGCCGGCCGCATCTACAACATCTCACAACCTAGAACTGTACAGGGCGAGTGGCAAGTTTGTATCGTTCGTGATTGGGAGGTGGAGGTGGACCTGCTTTGCCAAACATCATGGTTCTTTTGATGCCCCCTAGGCCTAGAAAACGATCAACATGGGCCAAGCTGCAGCTGAGTCAGGATTTGGCCTAAGCAAAACATCATGGTAAATACAGTTCCAGTCCGAGCACAGCATCCCCTAATTCTACTGCCCGCTTTATTTTTACAAACGATCACGCCATTCAGCTTCGGAGTTTGGACGGGTTTGGGAGTGGGAATGCTGAAGCTGACTGATCTGCAAGAAAAAACAGCAAACGACCCCGGCAACCGCGCAACCGCTGTTCCAAGTCCGAACCAAGTTGGACAAAGCACGGCTTGATTGACTTTCTTTGAAGGCGTTCCGAAGTGCGCTTCTGCCCAAGGCCGCCCAATCAGCCCCACCCTTCAGCATGGCAACCCTAAACCCTAAACCCTAAACCCTAAACTCTACACCCTAAACCCTAAACCCTAAACCCTACACCCTAAACCCTAAACCCTAAACCAAATCGTCGCTTCATTTGTGTTCCAAGGGACAGCACCTGGACGAGGTGTTCCGCCTCGGATGCGGTCCTCGCTCGGGCGTTTGTTGCGTCAAGTGTTTCGGAGCTATGGCTGCCAGATGCGCCTCGTGGAGACTTAGGGTTTAGGGTTTAGGGTTTAGGGTGGATGTGTAGGACGTAGGCTGGAGACACGACTGCTTGACTTAAGCGACATGTTTGGGAGCCTGGGCGTTGCAACGAATGTTCGGGCGAGGCTTCGGGCTCTCAAGCCTGCATCTCAAGCCTGTCACACATTCCGACATCGTTCCCGCCCAACCACACATTCTCACAGAACGTCAGCGTATCTGGCAGTTTGCCTCTCAACGCTTTCCATGCAACAGAAGCCTCGGCGCCGCCAAGGAGCGGCGATGCATCGACCACCGCGTGGCTCAGGAAGTGGAGAACCTGCGAATTCCTCTCTATGGCTCTATGGGTTTCGGGTTGCCTTCGTACCTGGTTCTGCCGACGAGCAACTCCGTTTCCGGGTGGCAGAAGGGCTTTTTGTTGCACCAGATCTGGGTCACGTGCGACCCAAGAAATTTTAAAACGACAAGAGACATCGTGGGGTGCCATCGAAGCCACGGGAGACTCCAGCAGCGTCAAAGCCTGGCGAACCTGAAGCAGGTCATGCGCATACACTTGTACAATTCGGGCGGCTTTAGGTACCCAGCGGGACTCTGCAAGGGTTGCGACTGCCGGGGCTCAGTGCGGTTTAGGTGCCTCATGGGCCATTCTTCACGATCCTCTCAGCCGCTTTTGGAAGAAGGGCTGTGCAAAGCACGAGGCGCACGTGCTGCAACACAGCATGACTCCAACCCGCAGCCCCAACTCCCCAATCCACAAACAACAGCACTGCGGCCCTCTGGCACAAAGCATGGCCACATCCGTAGGTATGGTGAAGCGCTCCTGGCCACCAAGGTTCAGGTGCATCTCAAGAATTAGCCTCGCACGCATACTATACCGCGTGTGCTGCTAGACATGCCATTGGACGATTCGATGTTGAGCCGCTGGGTAGAGCGTTCTTGAATTTGTAGAAGATGAGCATTTGGATGATACAATCGGTCATGGAAAGTGTAACTTGCTTCCAAATGGCACACGCATGCTGCAACTCCCCTTGCTGCACGTCACACCTGACAGTCTTGCACTGCAATTGTGCAATGTTGACAACGATTGCAGCTCTTCATATCGTGTTCCGGCAACAACGACTTGGTCCACGTCGCTGTCACTTGACGCCCCGCCCTCCACCAGCTCAGATGCATTCATGCTCAAAGGTGACCTTCTCACGGTGGTGACGAATCTTTCCGTAGCCTTCAAACAAAGCTCGTCCAACCCAAACTGCTGGTGGCCCACTGAAATGGTACCCCTGCCAGGGACCGGAAACCAAACCCACTATTTGCTGAAGATCCCCAAAAGAATTAAAAAAAACATATTCTTCCGTATTAAGGGCAATATAGGGACTATCATGTTCTTTATTCTTTTGGGGCTCTTAAGCATTCCGAACCCTGGAGCCCAATCGATTACGGTCAGGCCTTGCCCCGCCGCAGGGACAATAGAGGCTCCAAGGCTTCGGGGGACTGGCGCAGTGCGGACCTGACTCAAAAGGACGTTTCGCCTTTTTGGTAGCTTACAAACCCTAAACCCCAAACCCCAAACCCTAAACCCTAAACCCTAAACCCTAAGCCCTAAGCCCCAAACAGTAGGGCAACACCGTGTGTCACGGCTTAGCGTTGCTGAGGGACGTGGGGCTTACACGTGAGGGATGTTGAGGAGGCACTAGGCTTGGCCGGAATGTTTTTAACTCAAGCAAGTCATCCTCTTCTTCCTCTAAAAGCTAGAACATGAATACCCCACAACTCCCGTCATTGACCCACCTCTTACTGAGCTAATAAGCGAATGCGGCGCATGACTTTGAAACATGGGCGTGTAAGTGTGTGTTTAGCAAAGGGTTGTGATGCTCTGACAAGATTTCCTGATGTGTGGGGAGGGGGGGGAGGGGGGCAGATTTTTTATCCCCCCAAGTCACATACACACAACAATACACTACACGCCATCATTGATCTATTTCTTAGTCAGATGGGAGAAGGTCGAGCTAGAAGCGGAAAGCGAGCGAACAGAGCCTAAAGACTCCCGCCCCACCCGAGCACAAAACCCAAAACCCTAAACCCGTAACCCTAAACTCTTACTCCTGGGAAACTCAAGCCTTAAGCACTAAAAGGCACATCACATGACATCCAATCCCTAGACCCAACAGTATCCTAGGACAAAAACGTGCCCTAAACCCTAAACCCCAAACCCCTTTTTTTGCCTAAGGGGTGAGCCGAAACTCTGCAAAACGGGGAATAAGGGCCGAATGCTCTGGGTTCTAGAACCTGCTTCCTGCCATCCCAGGGCCTGGCTTCGGACCACAGAGCCTCCTGCACATTGGTGTCTCTGTCGATTGCCGCGGGCCCGAAACATACAAAATCGAGGTTTGGGGTTGAGGGTTTAGGGTTTCGGGATTAGGGGTTCAGGGTTTAGTTAGTTTTGCCACCCTCTGAGCGGACCTCTCGGACACTCTGCAGGGAAATGTCTATGGTTTAGGGTTTAGGGTTTAGGGTACCGCAGGCAAGCTTCCGCAACGGTCTTTACTGTTGTTGAAGGTTCAAGGTTCAGGGCACTGGCTTTATACATGGGAGTCTTTTATACTCGGGGCTTTGGGTCGAAGAGACATCATCGACCCACCCACCTACTCGTACAGTTTTTCTAATTCACGGATTCCACTTGTTGATCGTTTGAGGGTACAGTGTCGCAAGCCCCGTCCCCGCCCCCATGGTCCGAGGGCCCAATGGTGGCCGCAGAAGGTTTCAGGGTTTAGAGTTCAGAGCTTGTGGGGTTGGGGTTTCAGAATTTTTTTTGCCACCCAGGAAGCAGTGAGCCGCACTTCGGGGAGCACTTCCAAGGACAGTCAGACGTTGCAGAGGCAAGAAACCAGCGTGCAAACCAGAAGCAAGCGCGAGCAACGTGTAAACCAAACCCTCACCCTCGCCAAAAGGCCTCAAACGAACCACATCACCACCCCAACCAACAAGCTCCAACCCATTACTAACCCTAAACCCTACAACCCTACAACCCTAAAACCTAAACCCTAGGCCCTAAACCCCAAAAGGACACTGTGCGACTCGAAGCAGAGCGACTTCACTGATTGCGGGGACCTCGGAAGCCTTCCCTTGGCCAAAGGCAGCTGCCGCAGCCGCGAGCTTCTCCGTCATGGCCGGAGGATGTCAGAGCACATCACACCAACATCACCAACATCGGGTTTAGGGTTTAGGGTTTAGGGTTTGGGGTTTGGGGTTTGGGGTTTGGGGTTTGGGGTTTGGGGTTTGGGGTTTGGGGTTTGGGGTTTAGGGTTTAGGGTAGCAAGCGAAACACATCATAAGGGGGTCCCAAGGGAGTCCTTCTAACTTTACATAACTCTTGCTGGCTGCAACACGTGGCCTTGGGCTTCGGAATGAACGGAAATGCAGGGGTTTGTTTGGCATGCATGGCTTCTGTTGCAAGCTGGACACCCGCGATGAACCTGCAAAAACAAATGTTGCAAAGCCTTTAGCTCTTCCCATGCCCGACACCCCCTGCCCCCTAAACCCTAAACCCTAAACCCTAAACCCCCTTGACTTGGACTGGAATGTGCAGCTCGACGGCTTGGGCTTGTCTGGTCTCTTGTGTCCACAAACAGGCTGCCACTCCAGCATTGCTTGCAAGATCACACCTGGCACGCGACATGTCTTCCTGACCTGAGCATTCCGTAAAGCCTCACCCCACACCACCAGGCGCATGCCGGCGGACTTGGGATGTCCGGGCTTTTTTCAAGGTGAACTCGGATGAGAAGCCCTTTCTGATGCAAGCTCTCCAATCTCTACCAACAACCCCAAGCATGCAACAAAATCCTGAGGCACGTGCCCGGATTGGTTCCCTACCAGGACGGTCTACTATACCCTATAATCCCTTGAAAAGGCCCTTGATAGGGTTCATTATGGGGATTATGGGGCCTAATAGAACATCCTGATAGTGTCCTTGTGGCAGCGTGAAGGTGCTAAGAGCTGCATCGACCTGACCTGAGGGCAAGGCTTAGGAACGAAAGCGATCTCTGCTAGAATGCCCAAGAGCGGAGCATGTGGTTTAGGGTCTAGGGTTTAGGGTCTGGCTTGCATGTGCCACTGCTAGATACCCAGACGGCTGTAGCTGAACTAAAGCACTTGTTGTGCATGGTTTCGCTGTAGTCAGCCAAACTAAACAGCAGGGCACGATGACCAGACGAGCAAAGCAGTTTTGGGGGACAAATCCAGGCAAAGACGGCCAATAATGTGCTGCTGAAAATGAAAATAAATTATTGCTGGGTTTCCGTGCTTTGGGGGACACAGATATGAGGGGCACACTTCGTATCTGGTGCTCCTGGTTTCGTAGTTTTGCTCAGCCACGCTCGCAGGAAAAAGCAAGCACAGCTATGCTGTGAAACCCTATCAAAGCTTTTAGGGTCTAGGGTTTAGGGTTTATCATGCTCAGCGACATGTCGGTGGTTGGCAAGCTGGCATTCTCCTGCACTGGGGCTTCGGCATGTGGGGACGAGACCAAGACATGGAAGCAACCATGGTTTGAGTTCCTACTGCGAAGCGGTCTGTCTAGCCCACTGCAGCTTCTTCAGGTTTGAAGCCACCTCAATGTAACTCGGACAAAGTTCAATGCAGGTTTTCGTGGAAGGCCTGTACGGAGAATCTGGCGCTTTTTGTATTCCGCAGTTGGCGCAGCACGTCTTGAGTCTATTAGAGAGATTTCTGCTGTCTCAACTATGTAAACACAGCAACGGGGCGCTGGGCTGTGACAGGCATAGGCCTCCTGTTTCACTGTGGGGCAGGCCTCCAACATGATAAAAGGGTTTAGGGTGTAGGGTTTAGGGAAAGAACCCAAAGAACCCAAACGTCTGGCATTCGCGAAGAGTCCTCTGAGCTTAGTTGGCTGCACACATGTTTTTGGCGGAGGTGCTTCGGATTCTGCCATGCATGAGCTTACGTTCTTCGAAGCCTCCCTAAACCCTAAACCCTAAACCCTAAACCTGTTAGGCTTTGCACACTTAGGGCTTCGGGAGGCTCAGGGCTGAGGCTCCAGATTGTGGAGCCAGGTGTTTATGAACACAGTGGCTGAACCCTAGCCCGGCAGCTTACTTCTCCAATAACCAAGGGGAACAAGAAAATTCTACTTTTCCTACTCACTCAGGAAGCCCGAAAAGTTTGAAGTTCAACAATTGGCTAAGTAAGGTAGCCATCATTTCTGGCATCCCAGCATGGCCAGCTATATACTTGGGCCCAGCAGGTGTCCCAAGATTTGGGGGTTGAAAGATCTGCGCCGAAACCAATACAATGCTAGATCAGAAGTAAAACCGGACGAAAAGCCTAGAACAACTGACCGTGTACGTGTCAACTTGCATGTTGCCAAAACAAAAAAATCCACTGGAAGGAGAAACATTGGAACACGTCCTATGAGAAAGTGCTGTTACGCGATCACCAAGCTGCGGAGCATTGCAAGACACGCTGGTTAACCTTCGAGGAGTATGTCTGTCAGCAGCCATGCTTGGCGCAAATTTTCTGCACAGAGGCTAGGAGGCAGGGCAGCTTCCAGCCGTATTGCACCCTGAATCGACACCGACCGACCCGCTAAAGAAAAAGATCTCCTGCTATCAGCTCCATGAAATGCAGCACTTGTGATATGTCCTCCTCTCTGCAGTGAGGCGTGCCCTTCAGACGAGGCCCTTCAACTTAGAAACGAAACGAACGAAAAAAGTGCGACAGCAAAGATTTTGTGAGACATGGCCCGATTGCGAGGTAGATGCCGCGGGAGTCTGAGCAACCCCCTAGATGCGGTGCAAAAAGTGTATTGGGACCTTGATGGTGCCCAAGCCCCTGTATCACATAGGCAGGGCCAACGTTGTGGAACGAACCTGGGTCCTGTTGCCCTAAACCCTAAACCCTAAACCCTAAACCCTAAACCCTAAACCCTAAACCCTAAACCCTAAACCCTAAACCCTAAACCCTAAACCCTAAACCCTAAACCCTGAACCCTGGCATGCGCAAGTGTCAAGCCTTGGAAGTTCGGTGGCCACATCAGATCCCCAGATCTTCCAAAACCCCTAGGGTTTAGGGTTTAGGGTTTAGGGTTTAGGGTTTAGGGTTTAGGGTTTAGGGTTTAGGGTTTAGGGTTTAGGGTTTACGGTTTAGGGTTTAGGGTTTAGGGGCCTGAATTAAGGAATATACCCTAATTTATACTAAGGATCCTTATTGTGAATTAGGGTATATACCTTAATTAAGGGGTTTTGGCAGATCTGGGTCTTTGGAAGGCTTAGGATGATGGAGGACTATCCTCCCCTTGGAGCCTTAATAAAACGTACTATGTTTGTCATCTTCCCTTGGGTTTTATATAAACAAAGACAACATTTCCTAGAGGGCTATAGAAGATAGGCCCAGGAGAGGCCCAGAATTTTGGTACACGACCGGTAGAGTGGAGGGTTCGTTGCACAACGTTCCTCATCTCGGCTTTGCCCATACCAGAAGCCGAGTTTCGCAGGCTATGAAGCTGGCAGCTACTGGGCGAACGCCACTTTGCGATATCTGTGGCGAACATCGCACAGTAAAGTTACGATAGTCACAACGAAAATCTCGAAAGCTCAGGGATTCCACATGCTGCTTGATCGGCCAAGTGCGCGGGAATCAAGGTTCTTGTGGGTTTTGTCTCGGCATCTGGTACAGGCTGTCGCAATGGGCACACCCGTCCTCAGGAAATCAAACGGATCGCGCAAACGCCCTGTGCTGGAATGGGTGTGTGCCTCCCCGAACGAAGCGAATGCTCCCTCTCGGGGGAGGGCTCGAGTCTTTTTTTGGGGAGCTGCCCCGGGCCATAAGGACTCCCTTGCGTCGTCCTCAGCACCTGGTTCGCTCTAGGTATTAAATGGGATTAACACCAGGGATCGATTTCCAAGTTGGCCTGGCATGTACACTACTTGGCTGCACTTCGGAGGGTAGCTATAACTTAAAGTTTTAGCTGCCTTACCAGGAAACCCAATAAACCCCCAAAAAGGCTAAGGATCTAAAGTTACTGTAGAGCACCACAAAGACTAGAAAACCTGAGGCTCAAAGATAAAACCTTGAATCCGTCGAAGCATTCAGGTGTCATGGCTCATGTCGGGAATCAGTTCACGAAGCCTATCTCCTTCACCAGATCGTAGGCACAAGGAACAAGCATGCGCGCCACGTGTAAGTTGAGCACGAACCCAAAATCGACCCAGAAACCTGCGAACAACAGGCTTGATAAGGCTTGTGGGAGCCAGACTTGCTTTGTTTTAAGAGGGAGGCCCTCTGTCAACCGCTTTAAACGCTCCTTCCAAGTCGCTTTGACCCCTACCTAGAAGCCCTGCGAGACCCCAAAACAAACATGAATACTCACGTCTTCGCGCCTTCGCCCCAAAATCTACGCACCCCCACGGACATCATCCAGGATGGGCTATTAGGCCCTATAACCCCCATTAAACAGCCCTATAAAGGCCCTTTTTTAAGGATTTTCAGGGTCTAATAGCCCGTCCTGGATTACATTTACGACTTCTTCTGAATAACGCCACTCCGGATTCTTTTATCGATCCCCGGTCGGGGCTGAAGTCGCAGGCAGGACATCCCATGAGGGGCAAACTTGTTCAAGTTTGTGCTCCATAGGTCTGAGCTTCAATCAACACGCGAAGTATTTGAACCCTAAACCCTAAACCCTAAACCCTAAACCCTAAACCCTAAACCGAGTTTTGCACCTCATGGGCCATGAACAAAAGTCTTTCGCTAAGCCCTGGCACCCGATCGCTGAGCTGCAGCTTCACATGTACCAACCTTTCGCGCGCTCCAGCAATAAAGACAAGGCGTGAGGGTTTATAGTGCCTCGTTCTAGGGTTTAGGGTTTAGGGTTTAGGGCTATGCCAATCCTGCCTCGTGACTTCATCGATATTATTCAAACCATGGATCTGAGAGGAATCTCTGGAAGATGAAGGGACAGAGGGGGCCGGATGCTGGTCGCGCCGCAAGGCAGCAGAACTTAAAAGAAGCACATGGCTCCACGTTTCCCGATCATCGAATAAGAATTCATGACATGGGATTGAGTGTTCGGTCCGGTCAGAGCGCTGGGGTCTGTTGTCAGCTGGTGTGAGAATCCCCCAAATCCCATCTCAATGTTAACAACCCTAAACCTACACCCTAAACCCTAAACCCGCAAGTGCAAGCTATGCAGGATCACTTCACCTATGCGGATGAACAGGCTTAGCACATGACAGAAGCTGCGCGATGACCCCTGCATCCATATCTAATCAGTTCCAAGCTCGAGGCACAGAGGGTGTAGGGTTTAGGGCTTACACACTGAACTAGATCAGGTCACGCCTCGGGTCCAAGAGAACACCTTGGACAAAGTGGAGAAGGTGAGACTTTGTCCGTCATACGGCTGGCAATTCAAACCCTGCCAGCAGGGTTGGGTTTGCTTTAAGCCGCGTAGGGTTTTCATCGTCAAAGATATCATCCGACACAAACACCATGTTGTTCTCAGCTAGCTTCTGCTCTCGGCTGCTGTGCAGCACCATCCGGCTGTCGTGCCAAAAGGCCTGTTCGGGACTTCTGTGCAGATGAGGCCCTTCGAAGTAGCTAGCAGAGTTGCAGCTTTTCGACTAGCGGCATTTCATGTTCGTGCTTGGGGCAGATAGCAGGCGCATGCAAATGCCACTTCCGGTCTAGTCGCCAACGGCACGGGGTAGCTGAACGGTCCCGTGCAGGGAAGCGAGACGAAACACGATTGAAGGACAGGAGGCTTTCGAAGTTTTGCGTTGCTCCTTCAGACGTAGCACTTGAACGCAAGGAAGCAAAGAGATCCGGTCTACCACCCCTAGCTTGACCGTAGTCTTGGCGCCGAGAAATTGTAAACATCAGCAGCCTCCGATGAAAGAAGAGCTCCCCTGTCCTGTCTGTGCTTGCAGCGATTGCAGGGCCATGGCACTTTCCCTTGACCGGGATCTAGACACGTTCTAAGCCTGCCTACTCACTCTAGCTTCCAGTGTAGCGCAACACCCCAGCATCCTCTTTAACCATGATCATGAGCCCATGTGGTTGGGGCGAACAATGCGCATGGTGTTGGTGTGTTGGTATCTGCCTCTGCCTCTGCCTCTATGTGTGCGCTCCTCTGCGTGCGTGCATGTGCGCGTGCACGTGCATGTGAATACGCATGTGAAAGTGCACGTGTGTGCAGGTGTGGGTGTGGGTGTGGGTGTGGGTGTGGGTGGTGGGTGGTGGGTGGTGGGTGGTGGGTGGTGGGTGGTGTGTGTGGTGTGTGGTGTGTGGTGTGTGGTGTGTGTGTGTGGTGTGTGGTGTGTGGTGGTGGTGTGTGGTGTGTGTGTGTGTGGTGGGTGTGTGTGGTGTGTGTGTGTGGTGTGTGGGTGTGGGTGTGGGTGTGGTGTGTGTGGTGGTGTGTGTGTGTGGTGTGTGTGGGTGTGGGTGTGGGTGTGGGTGTGGGTGTGGGTGTGGTGTGGGTGTGGGTGTGGGTGGGTGGGTGTGGGTGTGGGTGTGTGTGTGTGGTGTGTGGTGTGGGTGTGGTGTGTGTGTGTGTGTGTGTGTGTGGTGGGTGGGTGGGTGGGGGTGGGTGGTGGGTGGGTGGGTGTGGGTGGGTGGTGTGGGTGGGTGCGTGCGTGCGTGCGTGCGTTGCGTGTGGGGTGCTGTGGGGTGCTGTTGGTGCGTGTGGGGTGCGTGTGGGGGCGTGGGGTGCGGTATGCGTGTGGGCGTGTGGGGTGCGTGTGGGGCGTGTGGGGTGCGTGTGGGGTGCGTGTGGGTGCGTGTGGGGTGCGTGTGGTGTGCGTGTGGGGTGCGTGTGGGTGCGTGTGGGTGCGTGCGTGTGGGGTGCGTGTGGGTGCGTGCGTGTGGGGTGTGTGGGTGCGTGTGGGGTGCGTGTGGGGTGTGTGCGTGGGTGCGTGTGGGTGCGTGTGGGTGCGTGTGGGGTGCGTGCGTGTGGGTGTGTGGGGTGCGCGTGTGGGGTGCGTGTGGGGTGCTGCGGGTGTGCGCGGCGCGCGCGCGCGCGGGCGTGTGTGTGTGTGTGTGGGTGTGTGGGTGTGTTGTGTGTGTGTGTGTGTGTGTGTGTGTGTGTGTGTGTGTGTGTGTGTGTGTGTGTGTGTGTGTGGTGTGTGTGTGTGTGTGTGTGTGTGTGTGTGTGTGTGTGTGTGTGTGTGTGTGTGTGTGTGTGTGTGTGTGTGTGTGTGTGTGTGTGTGTGTGTGTGTGTGTGTGTGTGTGTGTGTGTGTGTGTGTGTGTGTGTGTGTGTGTGTGTGTGCGTGCGTGTGGGTCGTGTGTGGTGCGTGTGTGTGCGTGTGTGTGCGCGTGTGTGGGCGTGTGCGTGCGTGTGCGTGCGTGTGCGTGCGTGTGCGTGCGTGTGCGTGCGTGTGCGTGCGTGCGTGCGTGTGCGTGCGTGTGCGGGTGTGCGGGTGCGGGTGTGCGGGTGTGCGGGTGTGCGGGTGTGCGGGTGTGCGGGTGTGCGGGTGTGCGGGTGTGCGGGTGTGGTGTGTGTGGGTGTGTGTGTGTGTGTGTGTGTGTGTGTGTGGGTGCGTGGGTGCGTGGGTGCGTGGGTGCGTGGGTGCGTGGGCGTGGGTGTGGGTGCGTGGGTGCGTGGGTGCGTGGGTGCGTGGGTGCGTGGTGCGTGGGTGCGTGGGTGCGTGGGGTGCGTGGGTGCGTTGGGTGCGTGGGTGCCGTGGGTGCGTGGGTGCGGGGTGCGTGGGTGCGTGTGTGTGGTTTGTGGTGTGTGGTGGTGTGTGTGTGTGTTGTGTGTGTGTGTGTGGTGTGTGTGGCGTGTGTGTGTGTGTGTGGGTGTGTGTGTGTGTGTGTGTGTGTGTGTGTGTTGGTTGGGGGGGAGGGGGGAGGGGTGTGGGGGGTGTGGGGGTGCGGGGTGCGGTGCGCGGGTGCGGGCGCGGCCACCAACGTATATTCTTGTATGGAGCACCAAGAGTCTCAGACAATTGAAATCCGAAGCGCCCCTAGTCCAAAAACCTAAACCTCAACAGCCTACAAACACAGGGCCTGGAAGTTTCTAGGAGTGAGTAGGACACCTCCAGGACGGGCTAGTAGACCCTATAACCCTTAAAAAAGGGCCTTTAGAGGGCTGTTTATGGGGGTTATAGGGCCTAGTAGCCCATCCTGGCTGGTCATGCAAACATCAGCTGCGAAAGCTCGAGATGCATTTTACCTCGGCTGCGTCATGGAGCAGGCAAAGCGGAAGCTTGAGATGTGCTTTCGATGGCTCATGTCTTGGACACGAAGACAGGGTTTAGGGTTTAGGGTTTAGGGATTAGGGTACAAACAGCTACCAGTAGAGAGATAAGCAGCCTGACTTGAACTGGCATCCTGGCAGCTGCTTGCAGATGTCCTGCGGCTAGCAGAAAACTCGGCACTACATGTCCTTGTTCCCCTTAACGGAAACCCCAGCCTAAACCGCAGACGAGAACTTGAGCTGTAAATCTCTTTGGCAGCCCAAACTTGAGCTCCAGTTCTCTCTTATTTTCAGCAGGGTTTAGGGTTTAGGGCTTAGGGTTCAGGAACTACCAAGACCCTCAATCCCGCGACTAGCTTTTGGAGGGGAAGCCATCACCAGCCTCTGCCCGCACCTCCGTGTTTTTCACACAAATACACTAAGGACTAAAACCAGGATGGCCCTTAAAGCCCCCTGAAAATATTCCTAAACATGATCCTCTTAAACCCAACAAGGGAAACTACAAAATATCCCAAGGGTCTACCTAGGACCTAGAAAGTAAACTTTAACTGCAAGCACTCAAGCAAGACCGCTGCCTTTGGAGTGTGACTGACAATGTCACGCTTGGATAGCTGGCCCCGCAGCCTCACAGCTCATACTCTTCTGGCTTTTAGAGGGTCGCGGGCCCACAAAAAGAAACCTGGACACAAACTGCTGCGCACACTGCTTTCATGTGGGTTTTTGGGCAGTCAAACATGGGAACTACGAAGACCGTCCAGCAACCAGGGAAATACGACAGCACATGGCACCGTGAACATCTCGTAAAAAGCGAACTTTGTGGTACTAAATCTGCGCAAACTGACTTATCAGAGCACACTACTTCACTGCTTCCTCTTCAGGAAATGGCTGCCAGAGTCTAAATGAAAAAACTCTGCCATTGGCAGCAAATACCTCCAAACAAAAGCAAAAAAAGGTATCGAGAGAGTTCGGAATGCTTGGGTGTAAGTCAGTGCTGGGGGTGTTGTGCCGACCCTTAATTGCAGCTTGTTGTACAAAGAGGCTTACAGAAGCAAAGACAGTGTAAATGACAGTGCTTGATGACTACATTCATCATGATTATTGTATTTATTTCTCTTGTTCTGTACTGTTTCCATTTTTGTTTGCTTCTTTCTTCGGGTCTTTCTGTCGTTGGCTTCTTCCGGAATTGAACGATTTTCAATTACTGTCGATCTCTTTCCTTTTCTTTTAAGTCATTCATGTACTTCGTTCTGCCCTTCTTTCTGTGCATTGTTTCTTGATGTCGTTTTATACTTCTCTTTCTTTCTTTCGTACTTTCTTTCTGCTATGTTTTGTGTCTGGGGGTGGGGGGGGGCTACAGCGACCATGCCCGACACACTGGTATCTACAGACTTACAACCTTCTTGCCTCTTTGTACAACATATTACTAAATGTTCTGTTTGGGTTCTGGGGGTCGGCAGGAACGTTGCCCTCTCCCCCCCCCCAACCCCCACCCCCCCCCCCCCCCACCCTCCCCGCCCCGGGTAAGATGGACACTTAGAGGCTATGCTGCACGTGCATGCCTTGTAAACAAATATACTTTACAAAGGAAACGCCCGCAGAATAGACGCAACGCACCCGCAGAATAGACGCGCGCAGAATAGACGCAGAGCGTCCAAGGCACGGGTAACCCCCACCCCACCCCACCCCCCCACCCCTCCTATTTAGGGTGGGACTCAGGATTGTGCCAGGGCCTCAGGAATTTGCTCCGACCTCTCCAGACTAGGGTTCGTACCTTGGACACTTATATAATGTTGTACCCTTGGGTTTTCGGGACCCTTTTTAAAGTTCCCTAGAAAATATAAGGGCCATATAAGGAGGATATTCAGGGAGCCTTACAACCTTAGGGGTGTGAGTCCTTGATCAAGACAAGCACGGTCCTCAACCCTAAACCTTTAAACCCCTAAACCCTGACACCTCTACACCCTAAACCCTTTTTGCCGGAGGACTCTCAACAACCCTTAAACCCTAAGCCCTAACTCCTAAACCCTAAACCCTATAAGCCCCTGGTTCCGACCTCTCAGCAGACAAGCCGCTCGTTTCTGAGGTTGGGCTCCGATGCCGGGGCCGTCTCATCCAGGTCTAACTCCTGGAGTTGGGGGGCTTGGAGGCTTTCCGGGGTACCCTAAACCCTAGCCCTAAACCCTAAATCCTAAACCCTAAACCCTTAACATTCCATTCAGGGGAACAGGTCTCGGACCTGCGTATGTCCGAAGTGCTGCAGGCTAAAGGAGGTTGCAGTCTGTTCATGCTCTCGTGTCGATTTCATGGGGATGCTTCTTGAAAAGCTTGCACCCCTGAACCACAGGCGGGCAAAACCCCGCGCCCCCAATCCTGAGCTCGGAACTTGAACCTTGGAGATGGAGAAGCCTTCTGCCCTGTGCTCTCTCGCTGGGCGAGTCCTCTTCTTGAAACTCTGGCATTGCGAGACCCAGTGCGGAGTGGATCCTCGAGGACAAGTCTGCGACCATATAGGCTTTGGAATTTGGAGCGTTTGCTCACAAGTCGGGTGAGGGCACGCGGGTTCAGGATTGTGGTGTAGGCACCGCTGCCGCTTGATGCTTGCAGAGGCCGGGAAGGGATGGTTCTTCGCGAGGTGTTGTTGTGATTTTGCGGCGGTTTTGGCCGGCGACTGCAAACTCATGAAAAGTAACAACTGGTTGTACAGGTCGCGATGAGTCGGGAGGGTGAATCTCAGGCCGATGGAGAGGTGAATCTCTGCTCGTACAATGCGCATGCCTGCTCATGGTCCCCCAAAGGGCAGAGGTTTGCCCACAAGCAACGCAGCAAACAAAACGACCACAAGCAGACAGCAAGAATGGAAAAAATGAATCGGCTCTACAAACTCAAAACAAAACTGAACCTGAGCTTGTGGTATTGCGTGATGCGGAACTATGAAGGCGCACCGGTTGCAACCCTAAACCCTGAACCCAAACATGCCAGACAGTGTCAGGAAAGTGGGTTTCTGCTGCATGATCTGAGGGCCGCGCGGGTGTAGGGTTTAGGGGCCTGAAAACATCCTTCTGCAGTCTTGGGCGCAGCCTATGAAGGATTTCCAAGCCACGGATCCCAGCCCCTTCGCCAAAAAGACCCCAGCACATAATTCGGTCAGAAAGCCCTCAGCCCTGAACTCCAGGTTACGTAGAGTCAGGGGAACCCTGGGGAGGATTTAGGAAACTAGATGCTTACCAAAATGTTTGCTTTGCCGCCCGCCTAGCTGAGCCGTTCCACACTGCGGGGATATGGCTTTGATGGTAAAATTAGAAACCATAGCGCATCATCACGACTTGATGTGTGCCGGACGAAGTGAAGATGATAGGGCTTTTTTGGGAGACTGGGGGGGGGTCTGTGGCTTCGGACCCCTTTCCACACCCTCCGGATGCCCACTGCCTGCGCAGGATTTGTTCGACGAGTTCGCACTCGGTCTTGGTCCCGGAATCCTTGGGATGAGTGTGGTCCAGGGAGTCGTGGTCCGCTGGTTTAGGGTTTAGGGTTTAGGGTTTAGGGTTTAGGGTTTAGGGTTAGGGTTTAGGGTTTAGGGCGGGATTGCAAGGGCATGCAACGCCATAAAACCCTAAACCCACAAAACAGCAAGGTAGAGTCGACTCCAAGTTTGCCGCCCTAGCGTTTCTGATCCCAGCTTGACCACCAACACCTCAAAGAGGTCTACCAAGAGACCCTTTGTTCAAGCCCTAAACCCTAAACCCTAAACCCTAAACCCTAAACACCAAACCCTAGTCCATTCCGCCCGAGGCCGTAGGGCTTACAGGGTGCAATTTCGGGGGCTTCCGACCCTCGGCTCACAGAGCGCGCGGGAAAGAACCCCGGGATTCAGACCACCGAAGTGAACCGGCAGTGACCAAGGTTTAGGGTTTAGGGTTTAGGGATTAGGGTTTAGGGTCTAGGGGGTAGGGTTTAGGGTTTAGGTCTAAGGGCAGAGCCCCAACATGGCACAAACCTTGAAGCCCTCCCTCAAGCAACAGCATGTCTGAACTTGCAACCGTGCCGAACCCCTTGGTGTCTCCGGACTGTGGGATTGAGGGCCGGATATTCTTCAGACTTTTTTTGTGCTTGCCTTTCCGAAGCCTCATCATACCAGCAGATATTATATATACATGTGTATATATCTATGTATATATATATATGTGTGTGTGTGTCTATGTCTACACGACTTACAAACCGCATTCTAAAGCTAGGCTGCACGAGCAATCCGCTGTAGCATCACCATCAGTGACCGCAGGTTCCTTAGGACAGCGGGTTTAGGGTTTCGGGTTTAGGGCAGTCTCTAATTCTTAAGGTCCCCCGCGCCCCACCCTATTCTTGTAACACAAGTGTTGCCTCCAGATATTGCAGTGCAGACTTGCTGATTGTGCTTGCAAGGTCCAACAGCATCTCGCATGCAAGGGTTGATTTTTGATGGAACATGTCTAATGTATATTGCCAGACATGATACCGAGACCGTTGAATTCTGAGCGGTTTCGATACAGAATGAGCAAAGGAGAATCCGATTTAGGCATGCGAAGGATTGCGCAGGGGGAGAAGGGAGGACGACAACGAAGACACCCAAAGCTTTGTTAACAACCTCGCCTACCTGAGCGCCGTAAATGCCCTTGCCAACTACGAACAACTCCATCCATCGTTACTTATCCGGGAAATTCCTTCTTTGAGACCAGGCATCATGAAGGAAAGGCCGCGAAACCATGCCTTCCCGTGAGCATGAAAGCAGCTGCTTCGGAAACCAAGACGAACATCCCATAACGCACTTGGCAGGATCTTCTCTTTGGCGACTCGAGGGCCCACTACAGACTCATGTGTGCACTCACTGGGACACTCTTGCTTGCACTCGTAGGATGATTTAGGTTGACTGTTTGGGGTCACACTTTAGGGTGCAGGTTCGGATCTTTTTGGGTTCTGGGCCGGTGCTTCGGGGTTGTGGCCCAGATGGTTGTTGCACCATCCTCATGAAAGGTCTTCTCTTTTCCTCAGTCTCGGCACAACGCGAACATGTAGGTGTGTGTGTGTGTGCGCGCAAAACTTGCGCCGGTATTCTCCGGGCTTTCGGGGGGACATTCTGGGGCGAAGGGCCCTTCACTGCTTTGTTTCTCGCTGCGGGTTCTTTGCCTTGATGACCATTTCGCCGCATGCAAGACCCTTGCCAGTACCCGAATTCCATGCTGACAAAAGCCTCGCCAAGCCCGTGCCATGGTGCGCGAATTTCCTCACATGGTGCGCGTGCCACAACCTTGCAAATACCCATGGTGGTGATGGAACTCCGCACTGCCCACGCAAAACTTCCCGTTGGCCGGCCATGACATCCATTGGCACTCTAGCTTCCAAGCGCACCGTAGCACACTAAGCTGCATGTGTGTGTGTGTGTGTGTCCGTCCGTCTGTCCGTCTGTCCGTCTGTCCGTCTGCGTCTCTCTGTTTGTTTGTTTGTTTGTTTGTTTGTTTGTCTGTGTCTGTCTGTGTTTTTGTGCTCGTGCGCGTGCCCGGCCTTGTAGCTCTCCTGCCCTGCATCCGACGCACCTCGCTCTACACAAGTGGCATGTTTGTGGGGCCCTTCTATGGAGAATTCTGGGGAGAGCTTATAGGGTTGCACACTTGCAATATTCGGAGCTGGGAAGGCGTCATCTTACCGAAGAAGCCTCAAGCCCGCCATATGGCCATACCCCATCATCCGAAACCTCTAACCCAAAAACGCAATCGCCTAACCTACGCACTTTTCCGAGCAAAGCTTTGATCTTACGATGTCCTTTCCAACTTAACGGACGGTCTCAAAATTCTTCAAGGCGGACTCGCCAATCAATGGAGATCACGGTGGTCAGGTCACTGAATGGAGGTTTACGATAAGGGACCTCTGATACAGACCCCACATAGTAGGGCTCCTTTACAAAAAAGGACCCCACGATGGGGGTTTACGATAAGGGACCTCTGATACAGACCCCACATAGTAGGGCTCCTTTATAACCAAAATTTCGGAAACCCCCAAACCCCAAACCCAAAACCCCAAACCCTAAACCCCAAACCCCAAACCCCAAACCCTAAACCCTATTCAATGCTCTGAGCCCAGCTCTGAGTCTGTAAACGTCCCCCCCAAGCCCAGACGACCCCCAACAAGGCAGAAGCTTGTCGGACTCTTAGGACCATGCCCATCACCCTAAACCCTAAACCCTAAACCCTGAACCCTGAACCCTGAACCCTGAACCCTGAACCCTACTTTCAGCCTTGTAAGCCTCAAGCATGCCAGCTGCCTTTGCTTTGCTTTGGGATTCCGATGTTGCCCACCCGACGCGTCCATGTGCCTGCTTGAATGAGGTTGCTCGTCCCACGCCCCCTCTGCCGCAATTTGGCTCCGTTCCGGTACTGATGCCTGATGCTTCCCCGGCCTGCAGATGCCTCCACACTATAAGTTGCCCACCTCACAACTGTTTGGCTTGCGGCTGGCACGGGAACGTCGATTCTGCTTCGCTGGAGCCACATCCAACAATGTAGTCTTACATCACTTCGAGGAGGGGGTTGGTTGGCCAATTGACATCCACTCGGACACCAATTCAAACATGAACGCCTGGCACTTCGCAGTGGGTGATCATGGCACCTGCACTGGCAGGTCAGCAAACGCCTTCTTTGTGCGGCCTTATGTGCTCCAGGAAGTTTTTGTCACAAACGCTCGCTTCCATGGTCCAAGTGTGTGGCATGTCCACCGACAACAGAAGAGATCCCGGGATGGACTTCCGATGTGTTCGAAACCCAAAGAAAATGCAAGACGGCCCGAGTCCCCACATTTTTTGCCACCTGTGACTGCTGTTTCTGGAGGTGCGGAACTGGTCCGAGGCCAAAAAGAGGAACTAAAAGCATGAAGCTTCGCCGCTAGACTCCTCTCGGCTCAAAACCTTCCCTAACCCTCAACCCTAAACTCTTAAACCCTTAAACCCTTAAAACCCCAAAACCCTCCATAAACCCTCCATAAACCCCAAAAACCCTAAATCCTCAAACACTAAAACCCCAAAACCTTAAAACCCTAAAAACCGAGGCCAGGGACTGCTGGCCGAGCTGGCAGCCGAAGTGGACAGCCCGGACCTGCCCCACCCGCTGCAGAATTCTGAGGACAATGCTTGGGGGCTAGGGTTTAGGGTTTAGGGTTGGGATACTAACAGTCCTTAATAGGGCTTATAAAAAGGGCACTAGAATCCCTAGTAAGGACTGCTAGCACAAAGGTGAACATCCCAAGCTTACGGTGTAGTTTAGGGTTTGGGCCCACGTGAAGGTCTTGAGCCTAAATCCTCAAATGCTTAGGGCCCTAAACCCTAAACCCTAAACCCTAAACCCTAAACCCTAAACCCTAAACCCTAAACCCTAAACCGGCCCAGTTCATGGTAGAAGCACAGAGATATCCGCATGTCAAACTTTCATTCCTCAGCCCTGACGACCCGGATAGCCCCACACCCAAAGCTTTTGCCCCACTCAAACTTGTTAGGGTTTACGGTTTAGGGTTTAGGGTTTAGGGTTTAGGGTTTTGGCACGTGCGACAGATGCAAGGCGCAAGGCAGACGCGCCATCCCTACTGGGACCTCGCGGGTGGGGCCTCAGGGTTGAACACTTCCCAGGTGCTTTCAACGAGGTTTAGGGTTTAGGGTTTAGGGTTTAGGGTTTAGGGCCTGCATAGCTTGCGACTCTAAGCCCGAACGGGCTTTCAGCCAAAGGCACTGGCGGCGGCTGGCACTGGATGGGATTGCCGATGCACCTGCCGCACCTGAAGATCTGCTTATGTGGCATGGGCATGACTACTCTGAAGGTTGCTTCGGGGTTTTCACCGCCAGTCTGCAACAAGGGAAAAGGTGGTCAGAGGAGTCAGAGGTTCGGTGTTTCTGCTTCCGAGATCATGCAGAAGAAGGTGTGAGACGCGTCCGATGCTTGCTCTCCTCCTGTTTTACCACTGCTCTTTTTCGCATGGGCTCTTTGATGGGGACAGAGTGACATACGTTTGCACTGTGCACAGCTCCAAGACACCCGCAATTAAGGCCTTCGGAAGGAAGGCCGCTGTGTGCATGCGTGCTGTGGCCGGGGCACCACGGTTTGTTCTGGTCTTTCCATCAGAAGGGGGGTGAGGATTATCGACTAACCGAGGGCGTTCGGACACGCGGGGTGGACTCTCCCCACATCCACCAAAAAGTTGAGAGATTCTCAAAAGGTGCTTCCGCAGACTGCCCGATCTGCAAGCATAGATTCTCACGCACCCCACATACAAAGTCGAGGTGAGCACGTGAGTGAGTGAGTGGGTGAGTGAGTGAGTGAGCGAGTGTGGGTGCCAGCGTGTTGTGTTCTCCATCTTCGTTGGATTCTTGACTGTCTTCGATGTATTTTGCCCACTCCGTCCCTATTAGTCGTACCCTAAACCCTAAACCCTAAACCCCAAACCCTAAACCCTAAACCGAAACCCCAAACCCCAAACCCCAAACCCTAAACCCTAAACCCTAAACCCTGAACCCTGAACCCTAAACCGTGTGGCTCTTCTAAATCGAAGGAGAGAAATGCAATACTTTCCTGGTGTGCGTCCTCTCGCTTGCAGGCCTGGGTCAGGCTGCAGTGGCTGGCTGGAGAGCACTTCCTGAGACTGCTGTCGCAAGAGCTTCTGTGAATTTGGAGGTTTAGGGTTTAGGGTTTAGGGCTTAGGGCTTAGGGTTTAGGGGACTGCCTGGGGAAGGGAACTAAGTAGGAAGGTAGCTAAGGTGACTAGCTTGATGCTTGTCGGCAGGTGGTTGGCACAATCAACCGAACATCACTTTTATAGTTGCGGACTTTGTACCCCTGTGCACCTCAGAGAGACAAACAACCGAATCTACGTCTGATTGGAGCGAGTTTCCAGCAGCTGCAGCGCATCACGCCTCGGGAAAAAACTATTCATCCGGCGCCGCGTCGAGAAAACGAATATTTACTCCGACACGCGCCGGATTCCCATCTACTGGGCAAGAATCAGTTATCAACACATGGCGCAGCGAGTGGCATTCGGAGGCTACAAACCCCCTTAAAACCCGTAAAAAACAAAACCTTAAAACCCTGAACCTTCAAAAGCCTAAGATCGTAAACCTGGAGGACCCTTACACCACGGGTGTGAGGAAACCCGCCCACTGCAGGTACTCATCTCAGTAATCATGGTAGTAGTTTTCGTGGGACTCGTCGCTGTGGTCGTCGTAGCAGGATTGAGCTTCACTCCGGCCCCCCATCCAAGAATCGACATTGCAGGAAACCTGGTCCTGAGATCTTGAATCTTGCATTCATCCCCGGAGTGGGATTCAATCCTGAGGATTGAACTTCAATCCTGTGAGGGATCCGAGATTAGCAGTGGGGGGATAGAGTTCAAGAGGAAGAGGAGGAGTGGTAATTAATAGTCATCGCAGGACATGACAGCAATGCCAGTGCAAGTGCTATAGTGCTATGTCTCCAACTCATCCCTAAACCCTAAACCCTAAACCCTAAACCCTAAACCCTACAGGCCTACTACAACGAATGCAAGTACAGGGTAGGAAGCGCAGGTGTAGTGGCAGCACTAGAGCAAAACTACAGCATCGCAGGAACGGTCCTGTTGAACCCAAGGATGCCCCACCGGTTTAGGGTTTAGTTTTTTTTGCCACCCGCCTAGCTGACACTCAGGCCACGTTGCAGGGACTAATACCGGCCATACTGTTCATTCAAGTTCGAGGGCTTTTAAAGTTAGCGTAAAAAGGGACCATGTGGGGGAGAACGGAGTACTGAGTATCCCAAGTGCTCAAACAAAGAAATACACACACCCAAAAACCAAAGAACCCCCAGAACTCCATCCCCCGTGGTCTCGGAGGAGAAAGGTTTTGACGCCACCTCAAATGCGGCAGCGTGCATCAGACCCGTGCAGTTGGCCCCCGGGAAATACTCGCGCCCGAATACCAAGGCTTGTAAGGCAGGGGTTTAGGGTTTAGGGTTTAGGGTTTAGGGTTCCCTTGTGTGCCTCATCTGGTCCAGTCTGTCCATGGTGCTTGGCGGCAGTGTTGGCGCCTCAGTGCTTGGAGAGGTTCTCTACGGATGGAGGCTGTGAGCAATCGAGAGAAATGTACCGATCATGGGAAATCGCTTCATGAACGACTGCCTTTTGCCGGTACATGGTGGATATCGGATGTCTGCCCGAGGGAGGCCAAAAAAAATTAGAAGAGATGCGCATTAGGGTTGCAACAGCAGATCTGCTGAGAAAGGATGAAAGCCTCAGCAGACTTCCCCACAAGGTGAGTCGAGTCTTGGGGGTGTCCTGTTTGGGGTTTAGGGCTTAGGGTCTCGGGTCTAACAAGGGATCCCCAAAAGAAGAAAAATGGCAGACCTGAAGCCCTGAGGTGCGGACCAGGCGTTGCGCCGATTCGGTCGGAAAGCAATGGCCATCTGTGGCGTGGGACTCTTCTCGGCTTTGCAACGGTCCCAGCTCGGATCGTAAGCCCTAAATAAGCCCCCTAAAATCCTTGCGTTGGCCTAAGTATCACGACAGCAAATCGGAGCAGGGGTTGGTTGCTGTGTTCATCGAAGGCCGCTGATCCCTAAACCCCAGTCCCTAAACTCGTTCATGGTTGGGATAATACTAAAAACTTGAATGTGTATTCGAAATTGGGTTTAAGTACCCTTAACAATGTAAAATGTTGCCCAACTATGACAAAGTAAAAACCTTAAACTTTCTTTGCCTCCATCCGAGCTTGCCGACAATGTCTGTGAAAAATCTTTTTTGCCCCAGGTCTCCTGTGAAAAACCTTAAGTCCTAAACCCTAAACTAAACCCTGTGGGAACGCAAGAAGGGATGGTGCGTTCACATGCTCACACTGGCGCTTCCGGTACACACACAGGCGAACAACAAGGGGGTGACCATCCCCCTAGGTCCCCCTAACTCCAAACCCTGAAGTCTTTCAACTTTTGACGAGGGCTGATGCTATGTTCCCCCACCGAGGCGTGCAGCCTGCGCGCCTGCAGTGTAGCCGTGGTTCAGGACTGTCTTACTCCAGCCTCGCTCCTGAAATAACCTCAAGATCTGGCCTGTCCAACCCTAAACCCTAAACCCTAAACCCTAAACCCTAAAACCTAAACCCTAACTCCACACTCTGCACTCCAGCATCTCCATTTCGAAACCCTCAATGCGTGTACGGCTCGGCCGCGAAACAGAAAAGCGCCTGCCACAACTTCGTTGTTGGGCGCTTTGTGGCCCACCATGCTCTGCGGCGGGCCTGACAGACGGAGCAGACGGGCATCTGAATCTTGAGTTTCTATTGACTGTCCATGTATTTTGCTATTTGTTTAAGGACCCCTCCGTACCCCCCCCGCCCCGGCCCACCCCCCCCCGCCCCGGGCCCCCCCCCCCCGCCCCAGCCCTCACCCCCCCCCCCCCCAGCCCCGGCCCCCCCCCGGGCCCCCCCCCCCCCCCCCACCCCCCCCCCCCCCCCCCCCCCCCCCCCCCCCCCCCCCCCCCCCCCCCCCCCCCCCCACCCCCCCACCCCCCCCCCCCCCCCCCCCACCCCCCCCCCCCCCCCCCCCCCCTCCCCCCCCCCCCCCCCCCACCCCCCCCCCCCCCCACCCCACCCCCCCCCCCCCCCCCCACCCCCCCCCCCCCCCCCCCCGCCCCCCCCCCCCCCCCCCCCCCACCCCCCCCCCCCCCCCCCCCCCAACACACCCACCCCCCCCCCCCCCGCCCGCCCCCCGCGACCCCCCCAACCACCCCCCCCACCCACCCACCCCCCCGCCCCCCCCCCCCCCCCCCCCACCCCCCCCCCCCCCCCCCCCCCCACCCCCCCCCCCCCCCCCCGCCCCCCCCCCCCCCCCCCCCCCCCCCCCCAAAAAAAAGAAAAGAGGTTATTCTTGAAAAATAAGTCTAGCAATTAACAGTCCCTGAATTCACCCAAGCAGCAAAGGCCAACGCGCACAAGCTCAAGTTTTCCCAATTTACCCGTAGGCCCGGACGAGTACTTACCTTGGGGACCAAATGAACCCTAAATTGGGGTCATATACCCAGTACTACTATAATTCTTATTCAGGTATATGAACCATAGACCCTTTTAGGGTTCATTTCGTCCCCAAGGTACATGATGCTTCAGATAATCTGTTTAGGGTTTAGGGTTTAGGGTTTAGGGCCCTGCCTTCCTCACCTTCCTCTGGTGGGGATTCGCACAAAGCGCCCAACACCACAGACGGGACTGCAATCGCCCTGGGCTGCAAAATGGAAAGGCAACCCTAAACCCTAAACCCTAAACCCTAAACCCTAAACCCTAAACCCTAAACGTTTCTTTGAAGCCCTGATGTTGTGCCATGTTTACCAGTGGAGATCAACGCCACCGTTTTCTTTGAGGGTTGGAGTCCGACGGGCGCACTCAGCTCTGCGAGAAAGGCCCAATCAAGCGCCACCCTCCTGCGGCCTGGAAAAACCTAGCAAAAGAAACCTTCCTTGGGGACCAAATGAACCCAAAATTGGGGTCATATACCCAGTACTACTATCATTCCTATTCAGGTATATGAACCATAAACCCTTTTAGGGTTCATTTCGTCCCCAAGGTTGGCTGCTGGATCTCTCAGGCGCGCGCATGATCTTTGCACGGATGATGGGGGCGAGGCCCTGGCATCACGCAGAAGTTGGCAGACCGGGCAAACCGTGAACGCAACAGTCCTTAGGGACCAAAAGATCCCTAAAAGGGTTTATGGTCCATATACCTTAAAAGGAATTCTAGTAGTATAGGGTATGTAATGCCATTTTAGGGTTCATTTCGTCCCCATGGCTTGGAGAATTCGAAGGTGCGTTGGTCCACCCTGCTTTGGGGAATTTGAAGGTGAAGGGCGCTTGGGGTTGCGCGGCACATGGCAGTAGAAGGCGGATGTCACACAACCGCAGCTACTTAAGTACAGCGCGTGCAGAACGAAAAATATCGACACCCAGCCCGCAGGCACCTCTGCAGTGCACGCTGCCACCGTTTCATGGATCAGGGCTTACGGTTCAGGGCTCCTTCACATGTTGAACACCGCTGCCGTCAGGGTGAGAACTTCTGCGGCATGCTCGGGAACCCCCCCTTAGGGACCAAACGAACCCCAAAAGGGTTTATGGTCCATATACCTTAATAGGAATTCTAGTAGTATAGGGTATATAACCCCATTTTAGGGTTCATTTCGTCCACAAGGCAGGCCCGTGAGAAGAGGAGCATGCACCTTGAGCACCTGCTTGAAACGCATTCGGCGCAAGCTCTCTCCTTGGTAGCAAAAAAACCAGGGTTTAGGGTTTAGGGTTTAGGGTTTAGGAGGGTTTAGGCTTTTCATCCTACAGGGCTGTGGAGTCCTGGAGGCAGCAGCTGCAGGCCGAGTGCTGAACCAAAACAGAGCCGGTCCGAAAGCCTCTAAGTTTAGGGTTTAGGGTTTAGGGTTTAGGGTTTAGGGTTTAGGGTTTAGGGTTTAGGGTCCAGTAACCTGGGGGAATTTAAGGTTAACCTTTGGGATGACAAGGGGGTTATATTTCCCCAAAAAGGTTAAAGGTTACCTACTCTACTACTAGGTTTATGCCAACTCCCCAAGCCCTTTGTCACGCAGGGTGCTGCTGCACTGGGTCACATCAACGTAAAGCAAGTACGCGTCATGGCTGCTAAGCAATTCATGCGATGGCTGCTGCAAAGCCTAGGCTTGTTCCGGGTATATATATATAGGGGTTTTAGAGAACTACGCGTGTGAACTTCAAGCTGCTACCAGAAACATTGTGTTCAAGTTGAAGTTCGGGGGCACATCAGACTTACTCTGGGGCGCGGGACCTGCCTGCTACATCTGCAATAGTGCACCAAGCACCTTACCCAATTTTGGTAAAGCGTGAGCCCGTCTACCACAGGCGCAGCTCCATATTGTAAACCAGCAGCTGTGGCGCTTGTCCAGTCTGAGCGGGCGCCTGCGGCCGGAATTGGGAAGTACAACTCTTGTGCAAGAAGCGCCTGCTGGCAGGCTGCATTCTGCGCAAGCAGATTTGCATATCTGGAATGACAGGGAGCGCCTCGTTCTACCTCAACTCACCATGCCGGCTTACAGGTCGTCTGCATCTACCAGATGACCTCTTATTACTGATTGACTCGGCTAGGTGACTCCTCCCCCCCCGTAGTTATCCCCTGTAACTTCCCTACTTCTTGCAGTTGGACGACCAGTCACATGGGGAAAGCATGGTTCCGACGCCTGTACTGCAAAGAGCCCTGGTTCTGCAAGTGTGCCTGTTGGAATCATTTCTGCGACATCTAACTCCCTGTCGAAGCACCAAGAGCATGCTCAGCGCCAGGGCAAGGCACGAAAATACCATGGCAACTGCAGTGAACGATGAGGACACTTAGCTTCGCTCGAGGAGCGTCGAATTTCTCCTCCGTGATATTCTTGCACTTTCCCCAATCGAGTTGCCCCGGGTTCTTTCCCAGCTTCTTCCGAGAGTTTGTCGTTTTCGCGCCGCCTCTCGCGCATCGAATGGCATCGTCCAAGTTGCTAAACGATAGTTTCCTTGTGACCCCACATGTCTCAAGCCAAGGCTGTTTGTCGAATACATTGAGAAGCAACATGGGAAAACTCTGGTTCACGGACCCCTCTCGGCCATGCGATTTCATGGGTAGCCACCTGCCCAAAGTAGCTGCTGAAAAAGGCTGAATCATACCGTTCGGCTTCACCCTAAACCCAATCGAACCCTCTTAAATGCTAACTACTGTGCACCTCGTCGTTACCTCACACAAGCATGGCCCCCGCCTGGAATGAGGCATGTGACAGAAGCCGCACTTGGCGCCTGAGGCGCAACTTCCAGAACCTTGGAAACTGCGTTGCAGCATGGACAAGGCTTCTACAAGCTGAACGCTTCTTTCTGCAGTTCAAGGGAGGATGTAGCCGATTCACCCCTGCTTGCAGGGTTTAGGGTTTAGGGTTTAGGGTTTAGTGTTTAGGGTTTAGGGTTTAGGGTTTAGGGTTTAGGGTTTAGGGTCCCTAAACCCTAAACAACCTGCAGGACATGCAGGGGCCCAATGTGCGACATGGACACGACTGCTGGACTGCTTGCTGAGCGTGTGACAAAATGCATCTGTGGCACTACCAGTACTTCCCAAGATGTGGTAAAGCCCTAAACCCTAACCCCCAAACCCCAAACCCCAAACCCTAAACCCTAAACCCTTCAGTACCATCCTCAGCCTCATAGGTGCACCTAGGTTGCAAGGAAAGTTCAGGGTTTAGGCCTTCCAGGTCAGGGTGCCTGCACTTTGAGCCCGCAGTAAGCAAACCCTAAATCCTAAACCCTAAACCCTGAACCCTAAACCCTAAACCCTGAAGTCTAGCCATATATATATATAATTTTTTTGAGCTGGTGACGGAAGAACAATCCCAGCATCTCGCGCGCATCAGCGGATGTCTGCTGTTTGGCGCTGACCAGGGCTGCCATGGGTGTAGTACGGGCTTAGGATGGTGGTCCCTTTGTATGGGCAGGATAAGAAAGGCCTGGACTAGCAAAAGAATGTGAAATTCCCAGACCGCCACGGGCCCTAACGATTTGCAGCTGTAGGAGCGGAAGTAGATGCATGGCCGTGGACACAGTTCTGGGTGCCCCAAGCTTCCTGCGAAGGTTCAAGAAAAATTACTGGGATGATCAGTGGTAGTCACGGTTTGGGGCGTGGGCTTGCGTGTGTTAACGAGACAGTCTAGACAAGCCGATGCAAAGTGAGGGTCGCTCCTCGGGCCTTGCATCAGGTCACCCTGATGGTTTGTGCTTGAGGCTGGGGCCTTTCTGTAGCAAGAGTGACTGCAGAGTAGAAGCCATCTGAATATCTGCTTGAGGAGTGGGGCCTGCTAGATGATCGAGATATTTGCCCAAAGCTGCACACAAATCGAAGCCGCTGGACATGCAAGTTACACGCAAGACACAAAGGGTCATCTGGCAAACAAAAGGCCGTATGCAGCTGGAGCTTCGGTCTTCATGCAATGCGCACTACAACTTGCGGGACGTTTCCAGCTTTGGGCATGTGAGCCTTGAGCCTCACATACGTACATGTGTGACTACGCGCAAAACAGAGAGGAAACGTCAATATGCTAGGGTGCCTTCGTGAAACCTTGCCCCCCCCCCCCACCAACCGCACCTTAAGGGACAACATCGCTGCTTTCAGCGAAGCTTGGGCAAGTTGTAAAAAAGAGGACCGCAACCCAAAACCCAAAACCCTAAACCCCCCCCCCCCCCCCAGGCAACCCTTCCTGGGTTCATGGCTGCGGCCGCCATCTGCACGGCCTGCACTCAGTCAATCTGGTCGGTAGCTTCAAGAAAGGCAGCATCAGCTGTTAGGGTTTCGGGCCTCGTTTATGGGTTAGGGTTTAAGGTTTAGGGACAAGACACCCCTCGTAGCAGCATCAGACTGCACGTTGCATATGTAAACCTCGGGCCCTGCAAACAAAGGATTCAAGCTCCATACTGCAAACAATCTTACTTTTCCACTCTCTTCCCTAAACCCTAAACCCTAAACCCTAGACCCTGAACCCTACAAGATCCAAGAGCGGCATCGGATTCCACAGGACCTTTAGCCGCACACCCAGATTTGAACCTCCATTAACCCTAAACCATAAACCCTAAATCCTTATTGAGCACGGACTGAGGACGCTGCCGGTAACACCTGAAAGCAGGGCCTTCTTGCCTTTCTCCTAACCCGTAAACCCTAAACCCTTTGACAGATCCAAAAGCGCTACACCCGTAGTAGGAGCCTCCGTGCCGCTGCTCATCACGGAGCCGGGCGGTTGCACGTCACCGCGGCTGCGCACCTGGCGATCTTATGTGCTAGTTTAGGGTTTAGGGTTTTTTAGTGCTTTGTCGTAGGGCGACTTGATGTGAGGTGGCTATGGGCTATGGGCGTCGGATTAACAGGACTGGACGAGAATCATCTGGCAGCCGTCGGGAACCCTAAACCCTAAACCCTAAACCTGAAACCCGAAACCCTAAACCCTAAACCCAATATCGCTGCTGCGGCCCTAACATGAAAGAATTGCCTTCGCTCGCAAGAGCTGGTCCGCAACGATCTCGTTTGTGACCTTGGTCTTCAGCTTTCTAACAGGCACATAGACATGACGTGTGAACATGTTCGGTTGTACGGCGGCTCTCTAAGTCCGAACCCTAAACCCTAAACCCTAAACCCTAAACCCTAAACCCTAAACCCTAAACCCTAAACCCGATGCCATTCCCATTCCCCTGCCTTCGGAACTCATGCCCCGGAGCCTGCTGCCTTCGCCTTCGCTAACAATTTCGCTAGGACTCTGGACTCCTTTTCTTACTTCTCCAATAACAAAGGGGAAAACAAGGTTAAACGTTTATTGTTCCTACTAAATAAGGAAACCCAAGAAGTTTAAAGTTCAACTAAAGGCGAAGTAAGTTTTAAGTCCAATCCACACATTTGCGCAGGAATGGCACACGGAAAATTTTTTTGCTTGTCGGATGGCGTGCCTAAGAGGTAGTGTAGGGTGGACAAGCTGCAGTGCGGGCGTTCATAGAACTGTATATGGTCAGGCATGCTTGCCACACTGTGCACGCATGGCGTGGTTCGCAAACTACCAAAACATGGCTTCTGTTGGCCAGAATATGAGGGCCCTCTGCTTAGGTTTACCCACGAAAAGTTGAACATGCCGATGCCCTTGAGGCCCAAGGGTAGCTGATACACGTGCATGTGGCATCTCATGCTTGTAGAACTACATCGCGTGCTTACCTCATCCTTGGCTACTGGAACCTCCTCTTTAGCCGACTTCCACATCTCAACCACCTTCCTTCCATGTCATGCCATGCCGAGCAAGTGGCGCTGTCAGGCATGAAGTCTTTGTCCTACACCATGAGTGGGGTCAAAACTTGGCCTCAGACTTGACACTTGCCCGCTCTCTTCCCAACACTTCGTCCCTCTTGCTCCTGAGCCAGTCTTATCTAGGGCTGGATCCCTGTGTGCTGTCCTTGATCACCGCGACGGCATTCTCCATGGCACTTGATTGCACCGATGGAAAGCCCTCAGCCAAGGGTTTCCTTAGCAAGCCGACAGGCTTCTCTATGAAAAACACGATGATTTAGGGTTTAGGGTTCAGGGTTTAAGTTTAGGGTTCTATAAGTGAAAGCCTCGTACCCTTTGCAACCTGCACGGCAAGATGGCTCCTTCTCTCCAGGGCATCAACCGCACTAGGTGGACATGTCTTCATAGCCTTTCCATGTTCACAGGGTCTCTGCTCAAGATCTCTCAATGCAGTCCAGACTGTCTTAGTGTGTCCACTGCCTTACGTGTCCACTGCCTTACGTCATACAGTATAGTGCGTCAGACTGCCCGACTCTGGATTTCAAAGCCAGGACGACTTGCTCTGAGTGCAGCCAGACTATGTCGCTCTCTATCGCCCGAGTGTCTGTATCAGCAGATCTTCTTCCACGGCATTACCTCAGCAAGTTTTGTGCGGAAGCTAAACGAAACTTGGAGAAACTGGCAACCAAAGTTCACAGCCTGACATCTTGCTTCTCAAAACTCACAGAGCGAAGTAGCGCAAGAACCCAAAGCCCTACGTTTCAGGGTGCTTCACTGAAAGATCCTGCGCGCAATTGAAGCTGGGACTCCCTTGGCACAGAGACCTGCAATCAGCTGACAACTCGAAAGCAATCGCGCTTAGGCACGGATTTCGCAGACTTTTCGCCACTTTGTGTCCACCTCTGCGACGTTGAAGGACAAAGATTAAGGAGACGCTCACTTGACGATGCAAGTTCATGCAGCGCAAAGCTGGGTTTCCGGAGCTGGCGGGGCCGAAGCCAGGCACCAAAGTTCTAAGTATGCACGTAAGCCCCTCCCCCTAATATTAAATCCCCCCCTACCCCCTAATATTAAACCCCCCCCCCCCCCGCCATATACTCTATATATATATATATATATATCTAAAATAGGGGTATTTAATATTAGGGGAGGGATTAGAGCATGGACTCCGATCCTGCGGCAGTTGTCTTCAGGAGGTTTTGGTTTATTGAGCCCTGAGGATTTCAGCCTCAGGCTTCAGGATGATCTCTGTAGTTAAGCTTGGGTTGAGGGTTTAGGGTTTAGGGTTTAGGGTTTAGGGTTTAGGGTTTAGGGTTTGGGGTGTAGGGTTTAGGGTTTAGGGGCTAGGATTTAGGGTTTAGGGTTTTAGGGTTTAGGGTTTAGGGTTTAGGGTGCTGGGATAGCACGCAAGAGGATACTCAAAGCCATCGCCACCGAATGCCTAGCCGAAGCTCCCACATATCCCCTGATCCAACTCTCAGAACACTTAAGAACACCTTAGGGTTTAGGGTTTAGGGTTTAGGGTTTAGGGTTTAGGGTTTAGGGTTTAGGGTTTAAGGTTTTACATCGGCGTGCCTTCGTTTCATTTCCGGCGTTGCTTTCCACCAAGTTGGCGAGAACCTTAAGCTGGCAGCGTGCAACTGACACAATTCGTACACGGTGTTGGGAACCCCTGGGTGAGATGCAGGGTTTAGGGTTTAGGGTTTGGGGTTTAGGGTTTAGGGTTTAGGGTTTAGGGTTTAGGGTTTAGGGCTTCCAAAGTCCAAGCACTGACAGTGTAAACGACACGACAACCCAGGAGGAAGGTTCTGACAAGATGTGATCCGAGGTGGCATTGCGATCCAAACCAAGGGTTTAGGGTTTAGGGTTAGGGTTTAGGGTTTAGGGTTTGGGGTTTGGGGTTTAGAGTTTAGGGTTTAGGGTTTAGGGTTTAGGATTTAGGGTTGAAGCCCAAACGTTGGGTCAAGAGGCTATGTCCAGCTGCTGGGTAGCATGAGCACGGCATTCCTCGCCAAGAGGGCACGCGAACAGCGCTGCGAACAGCAGCCACAGGAAGCAGGGTCTTACATACTCTAACTACTACTAATTGCTTAAGAACCTCGAAAAAACATAAGGGTAATAGCGGGATTATTGTTTTTATTCTTTTGGGGCTCTTCAGCAAGTAGTAGGCTACCGTAGACCAGCCCGGTACTTTCCAGACATGTGGGGTCCTCAGGCATGGACATTCAGGCTATGAGATATAACATGAAGCCAGGCCGAAGGAACACGACCTTTGAAGCAAGCTGTTGACAAACTTACACAACCTTCAACACCTTCGAGATTTCAAGGAGACAACGAGAGAATACGGTCAAGGCGTGTAACAGACCCACAGGGCACAATTAACGCACGGCGGAACTGTGCCGAGCACTTTGTGCTTGCATTTCCGTGCCTTCGTCTGACCTCTCAATCTAAACCCTTTTGCAACTGGACTCCTTGCTGCCAGGATAAACCCTAAACCCTAAACCCTAGACCCTAGACCCTAGACCCTAAACCCTAAACCCTAAATCCTAAACCCTAAACCCCACGGCTGAAAATCGCAGAATCCTCCTAGGACTGTTCCCCACGGAGCGCCTGTGTTGCTGCCTCCACGGCGGCCCCGGCAATTTGCGCCAGCTCTGAAGACATGTTCTGCATCCTCAGATGCAGGGCGGAGGAACAAACAATGGGAGAAAACAGCTAGCTACAGTATTGCCATGAACATATGAACTTTATTTCTATAACATCTGCGTGCTGTGACCCATGCCAAGCATGTGTTGCAACTGAAAAGCGTATCCATGCTTGCTTTGGTGATGATGGCTACCGCTGCATTTGCAAAATTCTAGATCGTTCGTAATCTTCCGGCTCGTAAGACTAAATACATTTTTGCCTTGGCATGGAAGTTAAACGATGTGTACAAATCATGGACCACATAAAGTAAAGGTTTGAATATCAACTGTTATTCGACGTGTGAAGTAAGCCGATGTTACTACTTACAAGTGTACCATAGGTTTGCGATGATTTGCTTCTACGGAATAATTGCATCCACATGTACCAGACGTTTATAAATTGTACACCCTCTGCCTGGCACTCTCACCTGCCCGACAGTTCAGTTCGCACATGCCTTCTCAGACGTACTGCTGAACTCCCCGTGACTATAGACTCCGAACCAACCATGCCTGGATGGACAGCGACCCCGTCACACAAGTCTCCACAAATCAAAACAACATATGTATATATACATATATGCATATATATATATATATACATGTATAGATAATATGTACACACAAAATCACACGAACACGCACCTACCTATCGGGACCTGCTTGCAAACAGGGGGAATGGCTACACAAGCTCCAGCAAGTTTTTGGAAGAACGGTTCTCTCACGTCAAGCTGCTGTTCGGCCAGCTCCTCATCATTCTCGTTGGTCTCCTGACAGCCGCGTGTGGATGTCATTCCATTGTACCAGCTTCTGGGTCCTACCACATACAAGGAGGTCTATTTCTTGGGTGGGGCCCCCTGCACTTTCACAGGGGCGCCTACTCTTGGCTAAGCTTCCAAGCGGATCCTCGAGCCTGACACTTCCCTAAACCCTAAACCCCAACCCCTAAACGTCCTAACCCCTAAGCCCTGAACCTAAACACAAACCCTATTGGGAGCCCAACTAACAGGTCCATGGATCCCTGTTTAGCTGCCGAAACTTGGGGGAGTCCGAACATAGGGGTACCCCTTTGCAAACCCTTTTTGTAGAACAGACTCCCTTCACAAGGGTACCCAACGGGTACCCCTATGTTCGGAAACCCCCACTCGTGCTCGAACTTGCCCCCCCCCCCCCCCCGCCCCGCCCTGCCTGGATAGCGCTCAACTGCAGGATCATGCCGCCCACCTGACGCAGGGCTTAAGCTGGAGGGTTGGCTCCGGAAACAAAGTGTCTTGTGAGAATTGCTGAGGCGTGATCGATCGCGATAGCTATAGACCTATGGACTTAGAGAAGAGCGCCAGAGGCTACGCCACCTCGTCGAAGCCTTCCGTTTCAGAAGACTTTCCTGCTCTTTCCTGCTACTAGTATGTCCCTGAACCTAAACTCCAAGTCAAGTCCGTGCACTTTTTGCTCGGAATCCCAAACCCTAATCCCTTTCCCCCTAATGGCCCTAATGTTACAGAAAACCTTCCGTAGGTTTTCCCTGTGAAGATTCTGCACAGATAGCAGCTTCAGCTTGTGAGGAACCATCCTAATTGCAGTCATGGAGCAAGTAACGTGTCGAAGAATGAGGGGCCACATGACGTTCGGTACTCTAATACTAACCCCCCCTACCCCTCTAATATTCGATACCCCCCACTAGAAGAAGTGGGGGGGGGGGGGGGGTATTTAATATTAGGGGGGGGGGGGGGGGGGGGGGGGGGGTTCATGCTGGGGGGAAGGAAAATTCCTGTTGAGGTTATGGACCAGAAACCCTTTTAGGGTTCATTTGGTCCCCAAGGATCGGCTGATCGGCAAGCCCCGTGGCGCCTTCTTGCGGACCTCGGCTTTGGCCTTCTCCACGCGGGACTCAAGGAGATTGACCACCATGGTTGGGATGACCTGCTCAGGGTTTAGGGTTTACGGTTTATCTGATTCATGGTTGGGATAGTATTAAAATTTTATGTTTATATTCCGTACTGGGTTTAAGTACCCTTAAACATGTAAAATGTTACCCAACTATGACAAAGTTATAGGGCTTAGGGCTTAGGGTTTAGCCTTTAGGGTTTAGGTGCTGTCTCCGCCGTCTGCTTACGGCTGCTCATGGTTTCTGTGTCTGTGTGTGCAGGCCATCAAGGCCAGGCAGGGTGCATCTCACAACATACTGGCATGCAGCATCTACACATGTTTGGGCCATGGCGGGTGTAGTGCATGGGAATGATGCCAAAGTTCCAAAAAGTCATGCGCGGACTTCTTGCCAGCTTCCGAAAAGAAACAGCTGCATGACTGCGAACCCATGATGCCAAAATCATGAGAACTTGATTGCTTAGGTGCCTCCAAATGCTTCACGACCTTGGTCGTCCCGGTTATCCTGTCATCCTCAGTTGTGGGAGCGTACGAACCCATCAGCATACCGGCAGTGTTGAGTTGATGTGATATAGGGGTCGGAATAAGTACTAGAAGTACTCCCTCAAAGTCCCTTTAGAATTCTACACCCTACTAGATATTGAGGCTTTTTCAGGACCCCCTTCAGTTCTTTAGATGAGACCTACGTCTGGCAAGAAACCACACCACTCGCATGCACGCACCTTGAGGTTGCTAGGTTATCTTGCCTACGAACGCTTAGGGTTTAGGGTTTAGGGTTTAGGGTTTAGGGTTTAGGGTTTAGGGTTTAGGGTTTAGGGTTTAGGGTTTAGGGATTAGGCTTTAGGCTTTAGGGTTTCGGGTGTCCAAGTTGCAACATCAGCACCATGGTGTGTAATGAGTGGTGTAGTATGGCCAATAGGAGACGTGAGTCTGACTCATCACGAATCACCGCGCTGACCTCGTTGATCTCCTGGTCTATGGGCCATGTGACAAGGTTTCCGACTCTCGGACATGCCAGCCGAGATCTCCAAGAGCTTCATTTACTAGGGTTTAGCGTTTAGGGTTGGGTTTGTTCTGCAAGGTGGGCTAGGCTTAAGCGTTTGGGGTCAAGGAGTTTTGGATCTGGGATGACAGCCGCGCCGCATGACTGGACGGACGGCGGAAAGCCAGACATTCTAATGAGCGGGGGAGCCGGAGGTTCGATCAAATCAAAGAGCGGACAATGTAACCACGCAGAGCAACCCTGAAAACGAAATGAAGGCTAAACCTTTGCTGATGTCTGCCGCGGGACATTCTGAACGGAGTCCACCACATGACTGACCAGCTTGTGCATGTCTTCACCGACCTTGCTGAATCATGGTTCATGTGAAGCTCATGTTGTGTCTGGGTTGTTTGGTGCTCTGAGGGCACGCCGAATGCAGCTCTGGGCATTTCTGAATACAGTATCACGGCCCATCTACCGTCATTGCCAAAGTCTTTGCTAAAAAAGTCTCCACTGATGCTCAACTCGATGTCTGATTGTGACAGTCCAAAGCAGATGTCAAGCCTCCTAGCTGGCGGCCTTTGTGATTTCAGGGGGCTGTTCTGATTTTCAAGTCCCTCTCCCTGGCCTCACTGTCGAAAAAAGCAAAAGGGGCTTATCAAGCTCACGACTGGCAGCAGATTGATGGGCGATTCTGCTGCTGTCTCTGGTGACACTCTCGGATCTTGTCTTTTGATAACCAGACTAGCAATATATGTTCCAAAAGTTAAGCAATTTGCATCTTTGGCTTGAAAAAATGAACTAAATTTACCGGGCCGAAGGTGCTTGGATTGAAGGCTTGTTGAGGGGCCCTAAACCCTAAACCCTAAACCCTACACCCTAAACCCTACACCCCCAACGCTAATGCAACCAGCGGAGCTCGCTTGGGCAACTCCTCCATGGCTGCCATAACAGTGGACATCCTTCAGGGAAGTGCGCGCATAGACAGAGCAGGAGTAGATCCGGCCGAGACCTGTAACTTCATACGGGTGCTATGTCACGCTGGTGATACTGACTTTGGCAGTGTTTGCAAGGCATGGATTCCGGTCAGATGTCAATGGGTGTCATTCGCAGCCACTTAAACTTCACTAGCCCGACAGTGCTCAACACCAAAAAGCTCTGACCCCCTTTCTTGACCCTGTACCCATCGGCATAGGAGGTTCGGGGCTGCGGCACGTTTTAAGCAGGTTGTCGGACAACGTAGCTCTCCCGGTCTGTTGTGACCATGCCCTGAACTCGAAGACTGTAGGTGATGTTCCGCGATGCTTGACAAGTTCGTCAGGAAGGAGGACCTTCCTGGATGTCGACTCTTGAAGAGGATGCTAAGCCCTAAACCCTAAACCCTAAGCCCTAAGCCCTAAACCCTAAGCCCTAAGCCCTAAACCCTAAACCCTGAACCCCTTCTAGAGATTCTAGAGGCTAAGCTTGTCCCGACAAGCCCTCATCGGATGGCTCCTCTTTTTGCTGCCCCAGCCGTCGAAGACTTGCTGGGCGCTCTCTTTCATCTCCTGAGGGGCAGCTCGTCTCACAAACAAAGAAGCGCTTGAAAAACTGAGGTGAAACCACTGTTTTCTAGTACCTGAAAGAGTGTGAGTTGACTTCGGTATTCCAACCTATATGTCCCCGATTGGGTGGCACAGGACCTGCGGAGGCACAGCTGACAGTGCTCAAAAAACCCAGCTACGCCCATGGCAGCCCATGACTATTGGGAGCTGAGGCCCACGACCAAAACCACCAAACCCTGATCTGCTTCATGTCTAACCTACACAAGTTAATGTACAAAATCGGGCTGGCCATCTTGTGAGTATGGCACTTCAGTGAACAGAAACCGCCCTGTCTGGCAAGTTCACACCATGTCGTAGTGCTGACAGAAACAGCTGTCACCGCCCTTAGTTCACAAGCTGGGGCTTAAGAAACTCTACCCTCCCAAAAAACTCCTGCACTTACTGATCACCTGCTGGAAGGCACCTTGCTCAAGGCTTGGCGCTGCTCTTCATGATGGAACCTTGCAGGCGAGTGATCGCGATCCACCACCTGCGGCGAGGTGCGGACGGCACATCCCATGGATCTTAGGTTTTTCAGCTCTGGGGTTCAAGCCCCAGAGCTAGATCCTCAGCATTTAGACAGCATCGAGCTTGGGTGATTGTTCGTCTGTCAAGTTCTGGTGGGTATTCCAACAACTCCCGCTTTAACACCTAAGCGCGGAAACATTTGATGGCCATGCCTACTACTCGGGCTACAGCGCAAGTGCCCACACAAAGCCGGCAGCGCAGAAGGAACCTAAAAACCCTAAACCCTAAACCCTGAACCCAAGAGACCTTTTTGAGTGGTAAGGCTTACGCACATGCTCTGATGGCTGCACTTTGGCATGTTCCCCCCTATGCTAGCAGTCCTTAAATGGGGATTACAGTAGGGTTTAGGGTTTAGGGTTTAGGGGGTACGCGAATCCCGATCTGCTAGCATAAGGGGGAACTGTCCTGCGGAGACGCAAGACACAACAAGCGAGCAAAGTGCAACAAAGCACATCGCTGGGTTTAGGGTTTAGGGCTAGGGTTTAGGGATTAGGGATTAGGGTTTAGGGTTTAGGGTTTACGGACTAGGGTTTAGGGTTTAGGGTTTAGGTTTTTCTCATCCCGAAGACAACTCCCAAGTTCCCAAGGGGTCCGCGGCAAGGGGCCGCCAACAGGGGACCGGCTTGGGATGCCAACAAATTGCTTAAGAACCCAGAAAAATATAACAAATATTTTTCTTACTAAGGGTAACACAGGGACTATAATTTTGCTTATTCTTTTGGGGTTCTTAAGCAAATAGTAGTAACCCACCTCAAGGCTAGCATTCCGAAACTGCCAGGGCCTGTAGGTGGCGCGACCGGATTTCCTGCAGCCACCGCATGGTTGAGGGAGCTAACATCTTGGGTCTTGCCTGAGGCAAAACGACGGTGACTTGGCCCTGCACAAACACACAGCCCTGCCTAAGTAACCAGCCTAACCCTGCGTGCAAGACCCTGCTGGCAATGACACTCTTGAACTCCCTAAACCCTAAACCCTAAACCCTAAACCCTAAACCCTAAACCCTAAACCCTAAACCCTAAACCCTAACCAAGCCCTCAATCCTTGAAAGCGCGTAGTCCCGCAACACCAACTTCAAGCCCTGTCGCCCGCGCTTGCCCCTGCTTGCCCCTGCAGCTTTTCAAAAACACACGCCAGCCCGCTCTTTTCATTCCGAAACTGCAAAAAGGGTTGGGGTTTAAGGTTTAGGGTTGAGGGTTGAGGGTTTAGGGTTACTCCAAAAACACAGAAGAATAGTCCCTATATTACCTTTAGAAGGAAGAACATCTACTCGACTGATTCCTTTTGGGCCTTAGGGATCAGCTCGCCATTCGAGCTGCATGACCGGATTCCAAAAACCGCCGATGGAGCCCTGAAACCCAAATCTCGAAGTCAATCCCTAGGACCCAAATCACCTCAGCCCCCAACCCTAAACCCGAAACCCTACACCCTAAACCCCCAAATCAACGCAGACTTTTACATGAGCCCCCAATCAGGGCACCTTCTTCAGCGTTTTGGTTGGTGGCAGGTCCTTGGATCGTGACGATTTGCTCGGTTTAGGAGGTCTTAAATATAGGGGAACCCGAGGTCTTCCCTAAACCCTAAACCCTAAACCCTAAACCCTAAACCCTAGACCCTAAACCCTTATGATTTCATGCTTTGCGGCCGCCGCCATGCCTTCGGGAGGAAAGACATTCAGGGGCATCGGCTGGCTTCCCTTTTGCATAGCCTTGTGAGGGTTTAGGGTTTAGGGTTTAGGGTTTAGGGTTTCGGGTTTCGGGTTTCGGGTTGTGGCTACCCTGATCCTGCCAAGCTTTAGAAGGGGGCTTCCGAAATCAGGGGGGTACCTTATTGGGGTCCTTATTCTGAGGGAATCCTGCTTAGCTTTATATAAAGTTCAACCGCATCCTGCGCCGAGAGGTGTCTCCAAACAAAAAGCCCAAGCTGCGTCGGTGACGTCCGGACCCTCCTCCGGAGGTGTGGCCTTGCCACAGGGTTGTGAGGTGTTGCAAGGCCACAGGGCTCTTCAAGCTCAGTTGTCCAGTACCTAAGGGTTTTAAAGGTTAACCTTTGGGAATATAAGGGGAATATATTAACCCAAAAAGGTTAAAAGGTTACCTACTCTACTACTAAGCAAGGGTTTTGGCCTGGGGCCTAGGGTTTCAGATGAAAGGGGCTGCTGCGGGGCAAGTGTTTGTGATAAAACTGCCTTACATGCCCTGAAGCCCCAATCCCGGCACCTCGGTCTAGAACCCTGCGCATCCCGCCTGCGCACCTGAGACAAGAAACCACGAAGTCCCACAGAAAGCCCATGTCCTACACATCATCCCAAACCGAAGAATTAGGGTTTAGGGTTTAGGGTTTAGGGTTTAGGGTTTGGGGTTTCGGGTTTAGGGTTTAGGGTTTAGGGGAAATGAGCCCTATCAGGGCGGCCTGAGCAGCCTGGAGTGGCTTGGGCGGCAGCTGCGCCTCCTGCTGTATGTAATATGATATTAATATACTAGTTCTTTAACCCCTGCCACATACGCAACCCCCGCCCCCCTCCCCCGCCCCCAAAGTCAACCCCAAACACACCACGGCAGCAAAGAAGCGAAACCACATGGCGTCTCTACCGTGACTTGCCCACCTAGCCTTCGTTTCGATCGTAAAAACCATGCTTGCTTCTTTTGATTCTGCACGATTTTCATGTAGGATTCGCATAAGGGGAATCACGAAAATAAACTTCTCGTTCTTTCCTTTCTTGGTATGAAGACATAGCCCTTAGGGCTGCAGGAACGGGGTTTAGGGTTTAGGGTTTAGGGTTTAGGGTTTAGGGTTACACACGCAAGCAACTACCGGAATGATTGTTTCAGGTTGTGGTGAGACACAAACATATAAGCACGAGTTCTTTGCACATAGTTTTAGATGGAAAACCCCAAATAGCAACAGGGACCTTACCCAAATACTGCATGTGGGACGATTCCATGATGCTTTTTTCGCTTTTTGCTTGGATGACTCACAATTAGCCGGTTTTCGCCAACGCAATAGTGCAGGTAAGCTAGCTCATAAAATATCATATCCATTGGGTCAAATATACGACTTAAGCCGTTTGAAGCTGCAACTCACTCAACAGGTGATTCAACATTTCATTCAACCTACTCGTTATCTCTTGAAGCGGTAACTTGCCCAAAATGCGATTCAACTTTCAGCTTGCTCATTAACTTTTGGCTAATTGTTTGACTGCATTATACTGATTTCGCCCCCCCACCCCCCACATCAATAAGACCCCCGAGAAAAACAGCATGACAGAATTATCAAAAAATGATTTCGAGAGGAGAAATACATATACTTGAACTTATCCCGACTAGCAAATAACTTACATAATCGCAACTTACATATCGCATGCAATTCAACGGTTGTTCCTTAAGGGGTGGTCAGATACAGTTGCCAGAACCAAGCATATGTCTGGCCCTAATACTTTCACCACCCCCCCCCCCCCCCCCCCCCCCCCCCCCACCCCAATCTGCGTAACAAACCCCATGCAAACAGCATTTTTCAGGTAGTTCAAAACTATGCCTAGGGCTCTGCCTCGGACACCTAAGGTGGTACCCTTGGCTTGTGGGTGCCCTTTGTAAGGATCCTTTAATGGAATAGAAGAGCCATATGCGGAGTATATAAAGGGAACCCTCTTCGGGGTAGGGTTTAGGGTTTAGGGTTTAGGGTTTAGGGTTTAGGGTTTAGGGTTTAGGGTTTAGGGTTTAGGGTTTAGGGTTTAGGGTTTAGGGTTTAGGGTTTAGGGTTTAGGGTTTAGGGTTTAGGGTTTAGGGTTTAGGGTTTAGGGACAAATTCAACTCAGAATCTGGTTTGGGATTTAGAAGGCGTGCAGAAGCTTGTAACCAACATCACAGATACTGAGTTAGAAGCTCTGAAAACACATCGCACTTTTTTGGGGTGTGGTTTAGGGTTTAGGGTTCAGGGTTTCGGTGTTCCACTTTGGTGTCTTTGTGCTTTGGTCTTCCGATACCCAGGCTACAGTACACAAGCCCTGGTAGATTTGAGAAATCACTGTTCGTGTTTAGGTGGTTTTCTGAGTCCACCCACTTCATGCGAAATGTTACGTATATATATATATATGTACATATATACAGAGTACAGATTTTGCCGAATATCAAACATGAGAAGAAGTCGACGGAAAACATGTCGCCGGAAGAGGCTACATTAGACTAACAGAGGAGGTATTGATCATGACTCTCTCTCTCTCTCTCTTTATATATATAGATATGTATTTATGTAAAATTTGATGTGCTTGTTTTGTTGTTGTTGAGTCCTCCTCCCCCCCCCCCCCCCCCCCCCCCCCCCCCCCCCCCCCCCTCCCCCTCACCCCCCCCCTGTGGTGTAGGTGTGGGTTGGTTTTGGGGGTTTAGGTTTTAACGGTTTTGGCCCTCGAGCGCTTTAGGGTTTCGAATGGTTAACCTGCT